GTAATGTCTTCCACTGACTTTTCAACCATAGTTCACGTGAGAATTTGGCCTGCTTAAGTTTTTTTTTTAAATCCAATTTTTCGGACACATTTTTAAAACATGCTCATGAATCTTTTTTTCCAAAAAAAAAATAAATAAAAAAAAAATAAAAATATCCGAACAACTCCGTTTTTTTAATGATCATGAGACTCACGTCTCTTTTATTATGCTATATTAGTTTATGGCATTCTCATCAGTTTTGAATCTATCATGATTACAAGCATACCAGTTTAAGTCAAGTAAGAAGAAAGTACAACATCCCTTTTTGTTTCGCTTCAAAAGATGTTTCTTTTTACTGTCTTTAAAAAAAACAACAATCACCCTAAAGATTGTATGGAATGGTATGGACAAGTCATTACATGTCAACGCTTTACGGACTACGGTTGACACCCTACCATCAGACAACCATTAGACAACCATTAGACAACCATTAGACAACCATTAGACAAGTTCAGGAAGAGGTGACTTTTTTGTTTGTTTTTTTTTGAATTAGCTACTTACAGGCATCCAGCAACAAGCAGGGGCGTCATTTCAGTTTTTTTTTTCCAAGGGGAGACGCAAAACCAAAACTTGGTCGGCTTAAGTTTTTTTATTACTGGAGGTGCCACAATCATTAGCAATTTAAATAAAACATGCAAAGTCCGGGNTACTTGGCTGTTTTAGAATATTAAATCCCAACGCTAAATACCTAAAAAAAAATATTTTAAAATCGTCCACAAGCGGATTTTAAACTTCAGGCCCCGGCCCCCCCCCCTTTTTTTTTTTCCATGAAGCTATGTAGGCTATTTTTTGCAAAGTGTAGAACAACGAACATTTTACTCTACATATATAACCAGGCTATACTATTTTGTCCAATGGGGAGAGAGAGCAACATTTAGATCAAAATATGGGTCACGAAAACAAATTTTGAAAGCCATTGGTTCCAACTTACGGAGGTGAGAACGTGTGTTCAAATTCTATAGACGTCTAACATCGCGACGTCACTGCTAATTTTATTTAGCTAAATGTGCTTAGTGAAGGGACATGCGCTGTGTGATGGGATAAACATAACATTATTAAATCGCGTTCTGATTGGTTACTTTAGCGACACTTTCGGTATGATTATATTACCTCGCGCTATACTATAAAGCCTCTCAACTTAATGTGTGTCGGGCGCTGAAACTGTCCAAAATATTATTTGACTCCAGACTTAAACAATTTAGGCTATAGTCTACTTGAATATCAGTACAATAAAATAAACACACTGTCATAATTCATATAGGAGTGTTGGAAAAAAAAAAGAGTTTTTTGTTTTTGTTTCGTTAATTTCTAAGCATACATTTAACTTTACTTGCCCCTCGATTTTTTTGCCCCCCCCCCCCTTAGAAAGTTTTCTGCGGGCGCCCATGTCGTTACATTAACTTACAGAAATGGGTTTTGTAGAAGCTATTTATATACATTTATCCCTGATATATTCACAACCTATACTCGCACATCAAATCTGAAATTCTCCCGGCAAATTCTTCTTCAGAAAAACAACAACACAACTCTCTAAAAACTGAAAGTTTTTATGTTTCAAGAGTTTCCTTTTACAACAAGCGCAATCCAAATATACCTGTTACAGTGTTGAAATGTATATTAAGTTGCACACTTGTATTTCAATTGAAAGGCCAACAAGCGTCTGACCTGAACGGGCACTAGTAGGTATTGGATCATTTCAACATAGCTCAACAAATCAATACCCCCTTATCGTGCTGTAAAGGTTATTGAAAAAAGTCTCGGTGTTGATATAGAGATATGGAATGTACGAGAAGGAATATAAAAGAGACAACCAAGAGTATAGTTGGTGGTGGGGGTGGGGGGGATGACGTTAACTGTTAACTAGAGACGCGATCAAACCAGGTCAAGTCTCATATCTAAAGAGCTTTCATTTTTTTTTTTTTTTTTTACGCCAGTCGCAGGCCAAAAGTTTTCCTAGAGTATGCCTACTTAAGACCTGCATACAGTTATATCTACCGATATGTATAGTGACATTAGTGTATAGCCAATTCCGTGTTTGAAAAAAAAAAAATGTTTTTGTAAAAAGAAAAAAAAAATGCCATTTCTTTTCGTCCTCCGAAGCGAAAAAGGGGAAATCTAAATTCAAATTAATTAAATGCCCCCCCCCCCCCCTCTCTCTCTCTTTCTCTCGCTCTCTCCTTTTTGGCTATTAAACATATTGGCTACCTTAAATATAAACAAATCTAGTCAATCTAAGGCTACCTTAATATAAACATTGCTACCTTTAAAAAAACCACGTAGGCTAATGATAATAGATGCCACTCGTATTTAACTCAAAACATAGAATTCGTCTTAAATTTGTCGTAACATAACAAAATTATTACATGCAGTCTAATTTTGAAAATATTATACTTCTAATATTTATTTCATTGCAAAACAGTTTGATTTTTTTTTTAATTAGGGGTGTGGGGGTGGGGTGTGTGGTCGGTGTCTAATAAAAAAATGGATTATATTAGGATTTACTTGGAATTTAGAAGTTATCGCGTGATGGATAACAATAATACTTCAAAGAGTCACAGTATTATTGTTATACACGCCATAACTGTAATTAAATCCTAATATGATTCTTTAGCAAATTGTTATTGAGAACACCCAATAAGGCCTATGGATCTCTGTACCAGATTTTTTGTTAATTAGAGCCAGGAAATTTAACGAGTGATCAATTTTGAAATATTAGGCATGCGATGAAACATAACAGTAGAGAAAATAGTGCTTGAATTAAGATAATTATTTAAAATTAATGTACTTAAGAAGTTCTGCCACTCTCCAAGGTAAATAATTCAATAAATCTTACCTTGGATCATTTGAGATGCAACTTTAAAATAAAAAAAGGACTTGGAATTTTCACCGACTCTCAGAAGTATTGCAAATTATATTCATAAATTTAACTCAACAAACCGGCACTTTTGAGGTCAACGCTTATTTGGCGACGGTTCTCATTAACCTTGGTAAAGAAACTCATTGAAGTGTGATTTTTTCCCTTTTAATAACGAAAAAATGGGCTAGTAATTAAAATAAAAGAACATTCTAAATATTTTAGGAAAATCTAATATGAAAACACCTTCAAAACTTATATATCTAAGGATGGATTAGAGTATCATATATTTACATTTAGATGAAATGTGTCCAAGCCGCACGACCCTAAAATTGAACCACTTCCGCTAGTGGTTGTCAGTGTAAACAAAGGCCGTCGACGCCGATACTACTACTGGAGCTTTACACGCAAGGAGCGTCATCGATTTTATCGACTTTAAATTTTACGACTGTAATTATTTAAGACCACCATCTCCTCCTGTCGCTTGAAGAAATATGAGATGATCTGTGTTAAAATGTTATCTGCTAAATTTAAAATTAAATTAGTAATTCCAATTAGACAGAGTAGTAAATTACTAGTAAATAATAGTAATAGTAATTAGTAGTAATTAAAGTAATAGACTTGACTTAACTTCTTAACTTAAACAGTACAATTAGTCATAGTCTAGTATAGTAGTAATAGAAGTCTGGCACTCCTCAGAACGGTGGTCCCAAATTAAAAATAGAATACAATTCGTTAGAAAGTGTCCGGCTACCAGCCTAATAGCCGCCTAAAATCGGTGACTTTAATGTATTCTTTTTTTTTCTTAAGATCGCGATCTTCATCGCCCTCTTCACCATCATCATTTCCTGAAATAAAATAAATTTAAAAAAAAGAAGAAGAAGAAAAAGAAAGAAAAATGCAAGAGAGAAAAAAAAGTTATGTCTGTTGAATTCAATATGCATAATTGCTGTTTTATATTTTATATGAGATGGTGTTCAGCAAGCCACACTAACCAAAGCCAAAGCAAACAGTGTCATAAGTTTGTAGAATTTTCCTGACAAAACATTATTTGAAATATGAACCGGCGCTTGTGATCTGCCGGCCATGGTATTGATTATTTTATATTATTACAAGCAATAATTAGTCTGCAAACAAATTGAAGTAAAATATTATGTAGGGGGCTATTACCCGGACACTTTCTAACGAAAAGTTTTCTATTTTTAATTTGAGACCCCGTTCTGAGGAGTGCCAGAAGTCTTAAAACTTTAAGTAGAGCTAGAGAGAAAGGAGCACACGCCCACCTCACAGTCCTTGTATTAATTGTACACAAACACAGATATCCTTTAAAGGACCTATTCTATTATAAGATTAAACTATTGATGACATTTTTATCTGCAATGAATAAGCTACATTTTTGTTACATTTCATATTTAAATTACCAAGACTCACTGACTTGCAACCATCCTCACCCATTAAAAAAAAAAAGGAAAGCAATCCTTTCCCTTACATCTTTTCACAACACTGATAATTCATTCAAAGTTGAGGATCAAAATTAATTTGTCTTGACAATTCTAATTTTAAATTTTATCCATCTCAATTCCTTCAACAATTTTTTGTCCAAAATTAGATACCAGTAACTAATAAATAAATTATGGTGCTATTTGGACAAGGTAACAAAACAAGTAATTTGTTAAATTATTGCAACATACATTATAACAATTAACATTTCACATGGTATTGTTTTAAACACACACAAAAGTGAAAATATAATAACTCAATTTGATCATTTCATCAAACTTTTTAATTTACCAATCTTGTTCAGTTTTTGAATGTTCAAAGAAATTTTATGATATTATGCAGGATCAATAAAATAATTCAAAAGCATTTTGAACCCAAAATATGAAACAAGTCATTGCTGGCTGACCAAGGAATTATTATAAGACTGAAATTTTAAAAATAATTTTGCTGATGTAAAGCCTTTGTACTGTAAAATGGGGGAACTTTGGTCCATTTTATGTGGAACATTGAATATTCCGACAATACCTGTTATTGTAATTATGAATTTAATAGTTTAACTCAGGGGCTATAGCATTACCATTAAGAACAAATAATTCAAAAACGATTATTTCTTCAATTTTTTTATTAAAAAAAAAATAATTAGTGGCCAAAGTTATCCCAACATGGAATTTACAAAGAATATACAAAAACAAAGTTTGACAATAGGGTTACTTTGGCCACAAAATAAATTTTTTTAATGTAAAAATTAACACTGAATGATAATGTTCATTAAGTAAACTTCTAAAAAATGTCAGCAAATGTGCGTTTCTTCAGTGCTGGTAGCCATTCATCAACTGAATCAGAAAATGATATGTTGCCCATACTATTAACTATCAGAATCACTACTTGTCTGATGTTCAGAAAGGTTAGCAGCAAGATCATGTTGTGGTTGGTCTGCAATTACATTCTCTGTGCTGCTAGTAGGAGAATCATATGTGTCAGTATCTATAACCTCATCATCAGAAGGCCCAACAACACTTTTTCCAGGCTCAACATCCAGGCGACGCTTCCGTCTCCGCGTTATCTCATCCTCTTTGCCAAACCGCATCTCTTGTAGGTGAGATAGGAATGAATCTGCAACTGATGTGTTGACCGAGTCCTCATTTTCATCATTGTGTGGAATATGCTTCAGGACAGGTTCAGGGGCTGTGGGGTAAATTCCAGATTTGCTAAATCCAGCCCTAATATTGTCAGCAGCATTGACACTTACACCATCCATTAGCTGTTTAAGCAGGCCTGGAACTTGTCTTTTTGTATGGTCTGTGCGTTTTTTCCTCTAGATGTTTTGTAGGCAGTCAGAATAGAGCGCCACTTTTCTTTAAGAGGTCTGAAAAATGCCACATCAAGAGACTGGCACAGATGTGTAGCATTTTGAGGCAGACAACAAAATTAATTTCATTTTCTGAACATATGCGAAGGGATAAGTGTGAGCTCAGATTGCCTCCTATGAGAACGCATCGTCCAGTTTTTCTTTTACAAAATGGTAGCGCCTTTTTCATGAACCAGTCATAAAAACATTCATTATCAAACCACCCCGAGTGGGAATGGTTGTAGCGGGTGGCTTTAGGGCCATTTTCAGTCCATGTGTCCCACAATTTCTCTGCCTTGTACACGACATAAACTGGTAGCAGTTCACCTACAGCTGTGCAAGAAAACATTAGACTTGTTGCCGATTTAGAGGTGTTGATGATCCTCTCTGGATATTTAATACCTCTTTTCATTATCATTTTTTTGCGTCCTTGATCATCCGACAAGTTTGTTTCATCGTAGTTGATGATGTTTTCAGGAGGAAAGTCTTTTAAGTTTCTTTAAGATTTCTAACATATTGATGGATGGTTGTCATTGAAACTCCTGCTCTTTTTTTGAGATGTTCTGACACAACCTCAAGCGCAGGGTGTCTTTGTGTAGGTTCATAAATGATTCGAACCAGTCCATTCCTGGTATATTGTCTTTGAAACGATCAACAGATCTGCCCTCCTTGTCTAAATGTTTGAATGAGGTACCGTACTGTAAATGTTAAGTTTAAAAAAAACAACACTATTACTGATATTGTGATAACATCAGAATCAGAGAGGACAAGAAATTGCTTCTCACTAATGAATACTATGCATTTAAACAGCTGTGTCCCTGTTGAGCAAATGGTTGCTTTGTCTGCCTGACAGCCAAAAGGTAGCAGGTTCAAATGAGTCTGGTTTTGTTTCCAGCTAAGGACATGTCAGGTGACTATTCTTTGGGGAGGAGGTAAACCCTGATAAAGAAACCTCAACCACTAAATCCAAATGTAGCAGCTGACCTGGCATGGGATTAAAAATTGCTATTACCAACACACACATCTACCATGAAATCCCCAGTGATACAGAAAATTGCATTTAGCCTGTGAATCTAAACAACATAACCAAAAAATCAAAAAGGAAGAACTGGGAATGGGAAGGTGTGGAGTGAGCTAAAAAGAGTTGCTCAAGTCATAGTTCAATGAAAAGGAGTTTGTAAGTGTTACATGCTCCACCAGGACCTACACATTCTAAGAACAAATTACTTTGTCTTAATCTCCTCAATTTTTTTTACAGTAAATAGTCATAACTAACAATAACATGGACCAGATTAAGCCACTGTGTCCCTCGCAAATGTATTGGGTAGAACTAGACATCTCTGCCACAATTATTGTTAGTTAGTATTATAACATTGTTGTCATACAACAAGAAAAGCAACAATGCAGGAAATCTGACAACAGCAGAGAGGAAGGCTTGTTGTCTTTTCCTTCTAGCTGGCAAATATTCTCAATTTTATTTTACATCATAAGTTTCTCATTTTTCACGTAGTTTTTTCACAAAAACAACATTGTCCCTGTTCCGGATTCCATAACTGTAAAAAAAAGAAAAGATAAGCATGAGAAAAAAAAAAAGATATAAGTATTATGAGTACCTGTAGCAAAAAGACTGTTTAAAAAGAAATTATACATAAACAATAATATATCAATACCCGCAATTCAAAAAGACCATGGTTTTAAATTAAAAAAAAAAAAAAATTTGGTTTTACATAGCATTAAATAAATTTATTCAATTATCAAAGAAATTAGAATACCGGTACTACAATACGACCATATAATATTTCTCACTATCACATAAGTTAAACAATTTTTCCATTTGTTGGCTATGAGAAGTTTTATTTTAGATTAATTTGATTTCAAATTAATTTAACAATAATACCTTTTCAGTTTCTTGTTATCATCTGTGAGCTTCTCTCCATTGAAATTCAACCAATAGCGTTTCCAGATATAGCGCCTGTAATCAAGAAATAGAACTCTCCAATTAGTCTTCAAATTAAACCATTCAACCTCATAAATTCTAAATCTTGCCAGTATTAATTAAAACCCCATAAAAGCCAAATCCTGCTACTCGACATGCTGTTTACATGTTGCAATATAAAAAAAAAAATTCTAGCCATGAAAACAAATGAAACTCTGGTAAGATGGCAAGCTATTAAACTTAATATTTTAATAGCAGATTTATTTTTTGTCTTGTTATGATCATGAGTAGTCTTTGTATTAGTTTGACATTTAAGAATTTACACAATAAGGAATTGGGATATAATGTAATACAACACATACATTTATGAATATGAATCAATTTATTCCATATAAATATATTAACAAATAAATAATGGTCTGGTCCACTGATCCAGCTTTAAACAGAAACTCGTCCCTCTTCCCCATAGACAGCGACGAGGCCATGAAAGGCAGTTCCGGCTCATACCAGCAAGAAACCCGTATAGGAACTGCTCATTCCTGCCAAAGACAATCAGGGAATGGAACAAGCTTCCAAAAGGAGCATTTGAGGCGACAACACTTGACACATTTTGCGTTTATTGTCTCAGGCCTTCCAACCCCCAGTGCCTGATACCATCACTAAGTGACCCTTGCAACCAGTGAATTATCCTCATCAACAATAGGCACAGAAACATTGCAAATCCCCTCTACATGCATAGGAGCCAGAATGATCCAATAAATTGATCCTGGGCCCTTAATATATAGAAGAAGAAATAGATTTTTTTTAACATTATTTTATAAACCTATCTACGGTCAATGTGGAGTTATTCCCCTTTGACCAGGGTTTCACTAAGATACATTTCTGAGTGCCCTGCCATGAATGGTTTATTAAGTAAAGGATTCTAACAACAACAATTGAGGAGCCTGAAGATTCAAACTAGAAAAAGTTATCCCCATGACAAACTACCTACCAACTGATATGTGTACTTCCACCTGTACGCATCTGCCTCAAAGTAAAATGTCTTTTGATTGCATGCTTCAGATCAATGACTCTAGCTTTCTGTGTAACAACAATAGCTGGAAAAATAAAATATCATTCATATTAAATTCCATTTTGTTAGAATTACAATGTTAAGATAGTGAGATACCGGTAATGAAGATGCTTACTAACTCCAAGAGATTGAATAAATATATATTTTTTATTAATTAAATTTTATTTCAGAAGAGACTCAAAATGCAATCAGAAAAATCATGTTCCAGTTTACTGATAAGCACTTCGGTGTGAATGATAATAATTCTTTGGTAATAAAAATATTTAAAAGATAACTTAAAGATACATGTTGAGGATGAAAACACATACGGACAATTTCATTGTCTTGTCTTCTGACATTAACCACCATAGCCTGCCCATATTCTAAGGCTATCATGGAATTAACTTCTTCAAGTGTGACATGAGGATCAAGATCCCGCAGTAAGGGGTCATTCTGAAAATAATTATAACATTTTATATTAACAATAAATTTTTTTTTTAAAAACATACTTTAAGCAGCATAAACAAATAACTTATTTTAAAATTAATGAACTACTACTACTATGTTAAGTCACACATACATATAATTATAATTATATTCACAATGCAAAGTGCTTTATCAAAATGGATAAAAGGTAACATACAACTATGAGTCCTGCTAGCATCTCTTGTGCTGTGTTCATTGCCTCAGAGTGGGTGAATGTGGGAATATGCTCTTCTTGTTTTTGTTGGCCACTTTTGGATTCCATTTTAACATCAGAGAGGTCTGGCTCCATCTTCACTGAGGTTATGAAATATTGCAATATAAAACAAATAAAATTGTGTGGAAACAAAATGATATATGATATGCGGTACCTGGGTTTCTACCTAGATGGAAGACTAACTTTTGAAAGTCATATTAACATGCTATGCAAGGCGATTTTTCTGGAGCTGCACAGGATTAGTCACATCAGGCCCTTCCTAACAATTGATGCAACAAAGAGGCTGATGTCTGCATTTGTGCTATCACACATGGACTATTGCAATGCTCTCTTGGTGGGTCTTCCAGCTACGCTTCTGGATAAAATTCAAATAGCACAGAATAATGTGGCTCGCATTGTTCTCCGCAAACGCAAGTTCGACAATGCAAAAACACTTCTGAGAGAGTTGCACTGGCTGCCGGTGCGTGCTCGCATAGAGTACAAAATCGCAACTTTGTGCTACCACTGCTTACATGACCTGGCGCCGTTCTATCTGAAAGAGCTGCTGACGCCTTATGTACCCACTAGAGAGCTCCGCTCATCCGATAGTGGCAACTCTCGACACCACGTGTTTGCCTTGAGACTTACAGAAAGCGCACTTTCGCATTTGCTGTTCCAATAATTTGGAACGCCCTTCCTGTCGATCTCAGAAACAACCAGACACTGGAGTCCTTTAAAACCGATCTAAAGACACATCTATTTCGCTAACACCTTCTGTGATGATTGTCTACCTTATTTTCCAGTTAATGCTTAGTGGCTGTGTTGCTTAGGGTTGAAATGGCTAGAAAGACTTTGCCATTGTATGCTTGTAATTAGTTTTTTAGTATTGCGTTTGTTTTAAATGTGGTAAATTATAGATTTGTTTTTTGTTGACTTTGTACCGCGCTTCGAGACTTTGGGGATGAAGCGTGTTTTTGAAAGGAACTTTATTATTATATTATATTACGCAATTTGCATCATAATTAATGCCAAAATTATTAAATTTTTAAAGGCGGTGTCTACACGTCCGGCTCCGAACGTATATCTCCCGCACTATTTGTCCGATGAACAAGTCACATTACCACCGGAAGAATGCTTTATCGAGATATTCGTCCGGCGACCAAGTCACATGACCGCCATAACAAAGTGGTGCGAGATATTTGTCCGTCAGCCTTGTCACGTGACCGCGAATGGTTCAAAACTATTGTTAATTTTAAAATCTATTTCTCTACCAAGTAATGTACTGAGTATCTTGCAAAAATATAATAGAAAAAAATACTTGGGTATATTACCAAAACAAAGTGGGGGTTAAGTGTTAAGCAATAATGCATTTATTTATTTAGGCATTTTTATATAGCGCTTACCTTAAAGCTCTAAGCGCTTTACAATTATTAAAAACATGTAAACTAAGTAAAATAAAAATGAGACACTAGGATAGTAACTACTATACTATAGAAACAATTAAAATGGCTATAAAACGAGGACACTTTGGCACGTTTTGGTCTATACTACAGGATCAACCCGAGACAGACAATGAGGCAGTCTTAAGACAAAAAGTCCAAACATTAACAACAAACCCCACTCAAGTCAAATAAAGCTTTTAGCAGCCGGTCAATTTACGCAATCTGTGCCACTTTGAGTTTCTGTGTAGGATTCACTCACCTTTGTTTATTCATGGATTGTTGCTAGAATTAACTTTTCTTTTTTTAATATTAATATGTCGAAGGAATGTTTAGGAAAATATTGTTTGTTTTCTGAGTTTCTTTTCCTATAAATGGCAATTTAAGAGGTAGACTTTTTTAAACAGAAAAATAAATTTTTTATATTATTTATTGAAAAGTTTACATTTATTAATTGGAAGAATACTAAAATGCCCAACAGCCACAGTAAGTTTGAACATTCCCCCCCCCCCCTCTCTGAATTTACACTCAAGTTAGTGGGGACTAAATTTATGGTGGATTTTACACTTGAGTTAGGAATGGTGACTTAGCATTCAGGTTACATAAGAGTTGTAGATTTTTCTAAAATTTTGGAGTAAATTTACGCTCAAGTTGGGGTACTAAATTTACTATAGAATTGATGCTTGAGTTAGAGATACTAAATTAACATTCAGGTTTTGTAGATTTGTATTTCTAAAAATAAATGATAAAATTTAAATTTTTTGGTGCTAATTTCTAACTTTTTTTATTTGTAATTGTTCACTTCTTCCTAGAGACCGACCGAAAGGGATTTTCTGATTTTGGCCAAAGCCAAAAATAGGCCGAAAGTTTTAAATGACTTGCGGCCGAAAGTTTAAAAATTACTTTCGTCCGAAACCGAAAAAAGGCCGAAAGTTAAAAATGACTTTCGTCTGAAACCGAAATATTTAGATATTTTGAAATTCATCCCCACATACATTCTGCATACATCGAAAATGATGGGGGAAAGTATAAATATTTACATTCTTTTATAAAAAGTGAGATAATCGTGAATATTAATAAACAAACATCTAATATAACATCTTGTTGTTAAAGATCATTTAGTTTGTTCTTAAAGATCGCTTAGTTTGTTGTTAAAGATCGTTCAGTTTTTTGTTAATGATCGCTTTATTTGATCTTAAAGATTGGTTGGTTTGTTCATAAAGATCGCTTAGTTTTTGTCTAAAGATATTTTAGTTTGTTATAAAGATCATTTAGTTTGTTAAAAAAAATCGCTAAGTTTTTTCTTATAGATCGCTTAGTTGTTCTTAAAGATAATTCAATTTGCTCTTAAAGATCATTTAGTTTGTTTTTATAGATCTTTTAGTTTGTTATTAAAAATAGTTTAGTTTGTTCTTAAAGATCGCTTATTTTGTTGTTGAAGATCGCTTAGTTTTTTCATAATGATCGCTTAGTTTGTTATAATAGATAATTGATTTTGTTCCTTAGGATCGATTAGTTTGTTCTTAAAGATCTTTTAGTTTGTTCTTAAAGATCTTTTAGTTTGTTCCTAAAGAACATTTAGTTTTTCTGTTAAAGATCGCTTAGTTTATTCTTAAAGATCGTTTAGTTTGTTCTTAAATGACGCTTAGTTTGTTGTTAAATAGCGTTTAGTTTGTTCTCAAAGATCACTTAATTTGTCCTTAAAGATCACTTTATTTGTTTTTAAAGCTCATTTTATTTTTTTTAAAGATCGTTTAGTTTGTTCTTAAAGATCACTTAATTTGTTATTAAAGATCATTTAGTTTGTTCTTAAATCTCACTTAGTTTGTTGTTAAATATTGCTTTCGCTGAGTATTAGATGACCGAAAACCTAAGTCACTTTCGGCCGGATGGCCAAAAGTCTAAGTCAATTTTGTCCGAAACCGAAAAAACCCCCGAAAGTTAACTTTTCTCTTTCGACCGAAATTAAGCCGAAATTTCAGTTTCGGTCGAAACAAAAACTTGGCCTAAAGTGATAAAATGGCCCCTTTCGGCGCCGAAACCGAAATTCGGTCGGTCTCTACTTCTTCCACTTATTTATTAAATTTTCTTTTTATCATTATTATGCAAAGTAAGTTAAAAAACAACAAAAAACGCTTGATTCAAAGTTTTTCTCTAAAAAAACTACTCTGAGTAAATTCCTTCCTTTCCTTTCTTTTCATGCACGATTAATGAAAACCCACTTTATTTCAATGTTTTCTCTAAAAAACAAAAAACTACCCTGATGCGGACAAAATTCCTAATTTTCCTTTCTTTTGGTAAATAGTTGAAACAACAGATTCTCCCCCACCCCTCCAAATTTTAGCATATGTATTTTTTAAGACACACCCACCATCTTTTTTTTTCCATGACAACAACAAAGGCTGTTAAAAAAAAAGAATAAAGCAAAAACAAAGTGAAATGAGTGGCGCGATTTCGTAAATTTACCGGAAGCTTTTAAAAGAAACTAACATGAAAGGAATTTACCCTTTGAACATTGATTGTTCCAAAAGCAATAAATCACCTACAAATATGACAATGACAGTAACAAAATATTTGTCTGATTTTGGGTCAGCAGTAAGGAGGGCGATGTGTTCCACAGTATAAAGGTCAAATAGGTTCGCCCTGGTCAAATATCGTCTACAGCTCTTTATTCAAAATATTTTGATATTTATGTTCACTTAAAATGCAAGTTTTTGTTTTTTTAATTAATATTTTTGCGATGTGGGGGGAGAGGTCTCCCCTCCCCAGAAGATTTCTTTGTTTCTTATTTTAGTATAATAAGTGGTTTCACAATACAAACTCTTATGAACGAAACTGAGATTTTGCACACTGAAAAATTATGATATTTTACAATTTATAAAGTACAAGACTTTCTTTCAAAGAGGAGTTTAACCCTCCGGAGATGTAAGGGCAGATCTATTGGCCCAAGGTGGAATAGCGAGAAAGACAAATGTTCGAACCATCGGCCCGATAAATCGAGCCTAGTGATTGGCTGGCTTGGCATTTTACTAGCGAATCAAATTTATTCTTACGTATTCCTGCACATCCCGTGATTGTAATGGCGGCGTTCGTTGATGGTGAAATTAATTTATTTGTGTGCAGGAATTTTTTTGTTTGTGTATAGTTATATAGTGAAATTCGGACATGTCTGACAGTGACTCTGATTTCTAGCTGTCTCGCAGTGAATCCGACACTGATGAAAACAACCAGGAAAGTAATGAAGACAATCAAATGATTATGTTTACGATAATGTTGTGAATCCTTGGTTTAGGATTAGGGGTTCTGAATTAGATAGAGATGACCTATAAAAATGCCCCTAGGGATAAGCATCCCAGTTGAGCACTTAATGCTATTTAAAAAAAAATATATTATTCAAATGTTTGTGAGAGACTAATAATAACTAATAAGTATGCAGACAACTTTCTCAGTAGCACACAGCTCAAATAAACCATAATTGGGTGCACAATGGTGAAAAGGACTGCTCTGTCTGTAGTAACTGAAAAGTACAGCGGGGGCAAGAAAAGGAGTAGAACTCTGTGCCAGGGGTGTCTGAAGGGCCTTATTTCCCAAAACACATGTGTTAGGATCTATCCATGCTTCATTCATCAAAAAATGCACACAATTTATACAGGTTAGTCATGTTTATTCTCAGTTTAACAAAAAAATTCCACGCATAAATTCATAAAAAGCGCTCCGTCTTTTTTGCACAGACAGTCCGAAAAGGCTCCGTCCCCGCCCAAAGGGTTAAAAATATTTTCTGCATTGGCATTGGTGATGGTGCATCTGCATAAATTCATCAGTTAAGTCAGGCATTAACAATGTCAGCATAGTCACTGCCATCTGTCTGTAACTGTAGTATTGTATTACCTACTTGTTTATATTTATAGTCTCTACAATAATTTACAAATCAATATCAAAAGTCTTGAAATGTCATGTGACAATTTAGGCATTGGGCTTGGTTTCTTAATTTCAATAGATTCACATTCTACTAATTCTACATCGATCTGTAAGAGTATTGCTTTCATCATTAGTAAAAAATCATTTACAATATTATTTTATTTAGAATTATTTAGTAATTTATAATTAATTTCTGACTAAATAAACTAAGCCGCCCAAAACTAAAATAAAATTTTAAAATATCTGTAATTAAAATATTATGACTTTTTATGAATTCATTAAATTTGTTTTATTTAAATACGTCTGTTTGGTAAACTCTACAAAAGAGATTTTAGAACAGCCATATTCTACTCACTTGCAAATAGAACTTCGAACTTATAGATATTAAGTGTGCAAGTTTGTCTTATGGGGCGCTTCTTTCTTTTCGTTTAGGTCCTTTTTACTATTATTATATTTATTGTCTTCCAATGCGAGCTTCCTGCTTCCGTAAAGCACTGTTAATAATTTGCGCATGCGCTAATAAAATTTTATGAAAATAAATTCACTTTCGACGCTTGTGTTTCATCATTTAAGAAATATTGGTTAAAGGCAGGAATCGCTAAATATTTCATGGAAACAAATATTTTTAAAAAGTGCTTTAAAAGGATACAAAAAAAGAGAGTGTATTTGGTCTTGTGATCGCAATTTAATAAAATTATTACTTGCGTGATCAAATTACTTAATTTCCGGTTCCGGTTGTTGTTGTTTACAAACAAAGATTTTCTACGACTATGGATACCTGTTTGTCCCAGGTCAAAATTATGAACGAATTTGATAATCACATAGAGAAAAAATTCACAGAGTCGAGGCAGTCTTACATGCCAGTGTTTGAACATTTTGATAAAAACAGGTAGACGATTGTACAATTTAAGGAAGGCCTGCGTATAGTATTAGTATTAGTATTATTATTATTATTAGTATAACTAGTATAAGTATATTATATATTATAAGTATAAGTTAAGTAAATATACGAGTCAAATTGAAATCTTAATTTTACTGAGGACACTGTGTGAGGTGGAGGTCCTTTGCCTTCACCAACCACTGAGCCAGACAGCTCCTCGACAAAGTCTGTTTCTCAGACAATATCGAATCCTACATTAAATTATTAAATTACTTATACTGACTAAGGGTAATAAAGGGAGAGACTGCAATCAGGTTAGTACAATATAAAATGAGTAAAACAGAGTAGAGTTAAATCTGAATAAATAAATGCAACAAAACATCGAACGTGTCGACAGAAAGCCTTCATCAGCAAACAAAACAACAGAAAAAACGGTTTAAAATTAAATATAAGAAATAAGAAATTTCTTATTCTTACATTTAATTTAATTTTAAACCTTTTTTTCTGTTGTTTTGATCGCTGACGAAGGCTTTCTGCCGACACGTTCGTTTTATACTGACTAAACTGATTAACTAACACATGTCGTAAAGCCTTATTTAAAATACTTAAATGAAAATGTAAGAAAGACAACTTTGAGCGAATTATATTTCAAGCAGTCATGGGACAGAACTTTCTGGTGAGAAATCTGACTGGTGATTAAATTAAGCACCTTATTCAAAGGATGTTTAAAGGAACCGTCCAAACAAGGATTACAGCCATGAGTAAATATATACGTTAAAGTCAATGGCGTTTAGTGGTAAACAGCTTTTCTTACCTTGACAGCACACTGTCCCAAATTTTATCCATCAATGATGAGGTGAATCTTTGAATTGCAAGAGCCAGCACAACCTACAACAATATTTCTAAGAATATATGGACCAGGGGAGGCATCAGCACAGGCAGTTCTCCTCAATATCTATATCATTATAGTGCAGTCCATGTTGTGAGAATGTCAGATGACAAATTGTCTGAGATAATATTTAATGGCAAGGTTGAGCATGTGAGGCGATATGCTGGTTAACAGAAGAAATTCCTCAAAGACACTCTGAAAGCCTCTTTGAAAGCATAATGTTTAAACTTGGACATGTGGGAAAAGCCGGCAAAAGAATTTAGCATCTTTTCACTCCTCTGTATATAAAGGCTCCTTGCAACATAACAGCTGCTGCAGAACACAAATTATAATCCAGTAAAGCTCAATCTATCCCTTGCACCCACTACACATGAAAATTACCTGCAAGAATTGGTCTCATCAGCCATCTGCACACAGGCAGACAGAATCAGTCCTAACACCTATCGGATGATTAAAGTGGTTCTCATCAAATTGACAAACTGACAACATAGCCAGAGAGTCTAGAGTTCAAGTCTTGTATTGTATAAGTGATATAGCCCAATCATGTAAATATCTTTATGAGAGACATAGCAAGGTGTAAATAAACATTTTTTAATTTACACCTCTATACCACAACTTTTTTGTCAGACCTCACCAATAACTTATTTGTGTATTGGCCATTTTAAAAGAAGATATTCTGTTAAAGTTTTTAAATATTTTTTTGTTTCAGTGATGGATATCTCAACAAGGATGAGTTCAGAAAATTATTAGAAGATCTTTTGAGCAATGGCCAAATGCAGCAAAGCATTACTGATGAAGATGCCAACTCAGTATTGTCTATGTTGGATTTGGATAATGTAAACTTTTATTGTATTTTTCATGTGTTTCTGTAAACTCTGGATAAACCAACTGGCCTTTAGTCTGTATGTTGTCTAAAGTCAAATATTCTTTTTTACTTTTCATATAACTATTCTAAATTTGGTCTAAAAGAGTGCATGTAATAATTAAATATGTTAAATTAGTATTTTTAAAAAATTCAATAATTTATTTTCAGGATGGCCGTCTTAGTTTAGAGGAATTCAGGTGTGCATGGTTATATTGGTTGAAACAGGTAGATTTTTAAGTTAATAAGACATGAGATCTGTTCATTTCATTATTACTTCCATTAGTAATATATGTGGAAAACTTATTTTTGAGACATGAAAAGTTAAATCATGAAAGTAATATCCAGATGTCTTTTTTTTGTTGCATAGAACTCTTGACTTCTGATAATCTTTAACTTTAATTCATTATTATTTTTCTTTCAAGGTTCTGAGTCCTGTGAAGGCTTTGATTATTGTGGATGTTCAAAATGATTTTATTACAGGTAAACAATAATTTTTCAAAAGCTCAAGTTATAGACCTGTTAACCATTTTTTAGTGTCTTGATAGAACATATTAGTTTAAAAGCTTTTTGTTTTGTTTTTTCAAGTGAAGTATAAAAACTGTCTGCAGTTAAGACATCTTTAATGATATGCTAGACTTCCTAGAATTTATGAACTATTCAAAAATTGAATTATTTTCATAGAAACCTTTAGAATTTTAAAACGTATCCAGGAAATTATTCTGTTTCGCAGCTTAATGAAATTATTGCCACTTCTAAATATACTTATTAAATTTAAAAAACTATTTAGGGAGCCTGGCATTAAAAAACTGCTCTGCTGGCCAGGACGGAGCTGGTGTCATCCCTGTCATCAACTCACTGTTGGAACAAGATTTGTTTGACCTTGTTATTTACACCTATGACTGGCACCCAGAGAACCATATATCCTTTATAGAAACTGTTGACTCAAGGAAAATTCATCCAACTTCAAAGGTACCTGTCTTGAGATGTAGTCTGTGGGTGTATAAGACTCTATTGTCTCCTATAACGTGTGGTTGTATAAGCCTATTTCATCTTCTATAGTCTGTGAGTGTTGGTGAAAGAATATTTGCTCTAGTCTGTGGTTGAATAAGAGTTTCATCTTTTTTTTTACACCGCACTCTTTGGTAATACTTTACTGCCTACAACATAAGTTTTGTGAAAGTAAAAAATCAAATGTGGAAAAAAATATTAAAAAACATTAAAAATATTTATTTTTTAAGTCATATAATTTGGTAATTCCATCAAATTTTTACCTCTGTTGCATACATTTTATTGCATCTTTGCACAATCATAGTTCTACAAGCAAAGTCCTTTAATATTACTCAGTGGTACATAGAGTGGAACTTGCACAAAGCTTTTGGATGCAAGATAATTCATCTATCTCCATAGAATGATAGTTACATTTTTGCCATGAGAAGGAAATACATAGCTGGCCTGTTTTCAGCCCTAAGATGTGGTGGTTGCTTTTATTTAGGGAAGGGAACCATATGGCTCCTATATATGGCATCTTTCCGTCTTTGTGAGACGATGGAGTAGCTATATAGTTCTACACTTTGACGAGTGCCTCACTAGGCCAATCCTAGAATGGCAATCAAGGCCGCATCTCTCGCAGGAGAATATTGAATCCCGGTAAATTCTTGAGTTCCGAATTGTTCTTTTTGATTCAAGGGCCTTGTTTTGAGTATCTTCTGCCTTTTTTGCTCCTTCAAACACTGCTGTTCGCCAGTTGGAGCGATGTATGGCAATGAACTCCCATTGGTTTGTTTCAATATTGGCTTCCCTCATGCTTCGTTTGCAAATGTCAATAAATCTCAGGCGCGGTCGTCCAATATGTTTTGTTCCCTCTGCCAACTCTCCATACAGCAGTATCTTTGGGATACGTCCTTCCTCCATTCTCCGTACATGAACTAACTAGCGAAGGCGTCTCTTGATAAGAAAGGAGAATATGCTAAACATGTGTGCACGATCCAAAACCTCCACGTTAGGCACCCTGTCCTGCCAACAAATGCGCAGAATGCGACGCAGACATCTTTGATGGAAGCTGTTGAGTTTCCGCTCCTGACTGGTCCAAACTTTGCTACCATATAGAAGCGTGCTAAGCACGCATGCCTGATAGACACTTATTTTTGTTTTATCAGTTAGATTGAGATTATTCCACACCCGCTTATTCAGTTTAGCCATAGTTGCTGCTGCTTTTGCAATCCTGATATTTATCTCTTCATCAACGGAGAGAGAACTAGAAATATTGGATCCCAGGTATATGAAATGATCGACAACCAAAAGATAATGACCCTCAATAGATATGATTGGAGGGGACGGTGCTTCTTGCATCATTACATGAGTTTTCTGTAGACTAATCAAAAGTCCAAATTCTTTACAAGCATGTGATAGGCGATTAACCAGCCACTGCAGACCTTCTTCTGTGTGAAATGTTAAGGCGGCATCGTCAGCGAACAGCAGTTCATGAATCAGCACCTTTTTTACTTTGGTCTTTGCACGAAGGCGGGCGATATTGAACAGTCTTCCATCAGATCTTGTATGGACATACACTCCATTTTCACAGTCACTGAAAGCAAATTGAAGGAGCATCGAAAAGAAAATTGAAAAGAGTGTTGGTGCCAGTACACAACCCTGTTTTACTCCGCTGCTAACTGGAAATGACTCAGAGACAGTGCCATTGAAAGTTACTGTGCTGTGCATGTTTTTGTGAAATGACTGTATTATTGTGAGCAGTTGTGGGGGACAACCTATTCTTTGCAAGATACTGAAAAGGCCTCTTCGACTTACCTCTTAGTCAAATGCCTTGGTCAGGTCTATGAAGGCAATATAAAGAGGAATATGGTTTTTGCGACATTTCTCCTGCGTTTGGCGTCGCAAAAATATCATGTCTATTGTTAAGCGCCCACTCCTGAAGCCACACTGGGACTCTGGGTAGATGCGGTTCGCAAGACTCTGCAATCGTTTAAGGGCAACTCGGGCAAAAGTCTTTCCAACTAAGCTAAGGAGAGAAATATCTCGGTAGTTATTGCAATCACTTCGGTCCCCTTTATTTTTATACAATGTTACGATGTTGGCGTCTCTCATGTCCTGGGGGATGTGACCTGTTTCCCAACACTGACAGAGGAGCTCATGTAAGGGCTGAAGTACGATAGGTTTTCCATTTTTGAGGATTTCTGCTGGGATGCTGTCGATCCCTTCCCATCCGCAAGGTAATCGATGGCTTTTTCGAGCTCCTGTAAAGTTGGCTCTTCATCCAGTTCATTCATTACTGACAAGGCAGGAATATTATGCAGAGCGGTCTCAGTAACTACATTCATTGTAGCTCAAGATAATGCTCTACCCAACGCAGGAGTTGATCATTTGGATTCTTGATGATTTGACCCGTCTTGGACTTGAGTGATGCTATTTTTGACGTGTGTGGACCAAATGCCCTCTTGATGCCCTCGTACATGCTCCTTGCATCTCCGTTGTCTGAAGCCAATTGTATGAAGTTGCAAATGTCTAGCCAGTAAGTGTTGGCACAGTAGCGGGCCGTCTGCTGTGATAATTTTTTTGCGGTTCGGAGAGCCTGCAGTGTACTAGCACAAGATGCTTCCCTATAGGCAAGTAGGGTTCCATCAGATGGCTCCTAGAACATAATAAATTCTATTGTTATCACAGTCTAGGTGCTTCATCAAATTTCAGAAAGAACATATGAAATTTGGTTTAAGTTGTCTTCAGAGATGTTGAACCATGTATAGCTTGTCAGTCAAAAGCGACCATGACCACCTTAATTATGAGATATGCTAATTGTGAATTTGGCTTTGGCTGCGCAGATGGCTGATGTTGAACCATAAACTAAGTCAAGTTATAGTTATATAAAAGCTTTTAAAAATCACTTTCTGGCATACAATAAAGACAACAGGAGGAAAGATGTATGGTTTGATGAAGTAAGGAATAAGATAGCAGCTTAAGATTTATGCTATTACAAAATATGATGAGCATAATGTGGCTCACAAAAATTAACTAATCATGTAGAGCCTGAATAATGAGACTTAGGCTCATTTCACATGATCAAATTCCTTTCAAATTTTCACTCATACATTTGATGCGATTTTTTTATGAAGCCTTCTCACAACTTTCAAATTTCTATTTTATCAAATTCTCATTTTTGTCCAAAAAAAGAAACCACACAAAAAATAGTCAGTTCATACACAAATTTGAATCAAATTGGAAGCTAATTTGAAAGGAATTTGATCGTGTGAACTGACGCTTACAAAAAAATATTTTAGGCATCTGCAGCTGCTGCAAAAGTTCAAGAGAAATTGACATTTGATATTGATGGTATACCACGAGAGCAAATTCTATGGCCAAAGCATTGTGTGCAGGGAAGCTTTGGGGCCCAGCTTGCTGATACTCTGAAGGTAATTATCAATCATTATGTCAGTGGACGTTGGTTAGAGGAACTTACAGAAATAAAAGTTTAAAAGTTGATTCACTGCTTGTTAAATTAGTAGGACACATCATTATTCAATTATGGCTTGATTGGCTCAAAAACCTAATCTATGTCAAGGTCATGGATAACAGTTTTCAGATGACACCCCCCCCCCCTCCCTCATTAACATGAATATTACATTCAAGAATTTATTGAAATTTATCTGGTACAGTCAATGGCACTCAAGAGTTACCATAAACTAAAATATTTTAACCAATGAAATGCTATACCACTGAATGTTACAGAATTAAACCTCTGGTAACTTCACTAAAACTACTTTTTTCAAGGTCAGGGAAAACAGTTTTCAAAAGACCCCCCCCCCCCTCCCTCATTAACATGAATATTACATTCAAGAATTTATTGAAATTTATCTGATACAGTCAATGGCACTCAAGAGTTACCATAAACTAAAATATTTTAACCAATGAAATGCTATACCACTGAATGTTACAGAATTAAACCTCTGGTAACTTCACTAAAACTACTTTTTGCACATATACATTTTTATTTTCATATTCTTATAAAGATAATCTCTAATTTGCATACCCGGTTGTTAATTTTTTAAATGATGAACATTAGAAAGGATTACAATAAGAATCATTCCCCTATATTTTACTTACCAGTTTTGTTAGTGTCTTGTCAGCGAAGATTTTAGAAGTTCAGGAAAATGTTTTTCAGTTATCACAGATTTAATGAATTTTAGAGTATAATATAAGAAGAAATGCTCACAAGTATATGCATAGGAAAATCGAAGACACTGTCTAACCCATTAACCATATCAGAGAACTGTATCATTTTGTTTTATGCCTTTGGGGATTCTTTTAATAATCTTATAGCATCTTTCTGGGCTCAGAACAAAATAAACATGTGCATCATTTGGCTTTAAAAAATCCTCATCTGCATAAGGAGACTTGAGAAAAAATGATAAGGATAAAACAAATATAGCTTCAATTATTATATAAGTGTGTTGGCTAGTCACACAAATAACTAATTTTTTGGTCATGAATTTTAAATATTAAACATGTTTTTTGTGTGTGTGCATCACTTTGTATGATGATGTCTTATAAAATATATTGTCTTTTATAAAAAATCCTCTTAATCTTAAAAAAATCTTTTCTCATATTTTTGATATGGATGCTGCAACAATTGAATGTGAGATGAGAGGGGATACCAATAAGAAAAATCACAAACAACTATTACACAGGGCACACACACAACTAGCCTACTGGGAACAAACATGTGGTGCTCAAAGTAGCTTATTACTAGATCTAGCTGCCAACTCCTGAAATATTTGAATGTATAATTTATATGTGGCATCACTTTCACAGGTGGTTCCAAATGCTTTTCATGTATACAAGGGAGCCAGCCCCGATGTGGACAGCTACTCAGCATTCTGGGACAACTCAAAGCTGTCAAAAACAAATTTAGCTTCAATTCTCTCTGAGAAAAACGTCACTGATGTTTATGTGTGTGGCCTGGCATATGATGTTTGTGTTGGTAGGTCTTCATGTAAATAATTCTATAGATCTATTTTTAAAGCAGTGGTTATTAAACAGTTTCAAGCAACAGATGATTTTAACCTTAAATCTTATTGTGTTATTAAATAGGGAAAAACATTGCTTTTGTGATGCACACTTGGTTTTGATTCTCACTTTTATGAATTGACCCCATTTCATTGTCTCACAATTTGGATCTATTATTTAGTGACACATCTTTGTCATGAAATAAACGATTTCATGACTGATAGAAACAACTTTTTTGTTTGCACTTAATTTATGATTAATGCAATAATATCTTCTAAAAATAATCCCATTCTCTTGGAAATAATTTTCATATAATAATAAATGATTGCATTGTTATAATGTGTACTTAAAAAACCAACATCCCAAAAATAAAAATCAGTGATTTATTTGTGCATTATTGAAATGAAGAGAACTATTTGCTTGATTTATTTGCAGAAACTAACTTTACCATGGCATTAAACCAATGTGTGTAACTGATTTTTTTTAGGTTTCACAGCTATGGACTCTTTAGAACATGGTTTCCGAACAATTTGCATTGAAGATGCCTGCAGGGGTGTCACTTTAGATGGAATCAGTAGAATGAGGAGAGAACTGCAAAAAAAAGGTGTCTACATGACCATGTCAGCAGAGGTGAGATTAAATAGATTCTACTTGTTGTTTTATTTTTGAGTTCTAATGGAATAAGACAAGAATTAAATTAAAACCGATTACCGCATACTTTAGCACAGTTGGGAGATTTTGTACCATTTTGATGTGTTCATTGAAAATGTTGTCAATTAACGATGCATGTAAAAAACTGCTAAGTGAGAATATTTGGGATTTTAAGATTCTAACCAACACTGCTATGGTAAAGCTCATGTCACCATTCATCTATGGGGGCCTTCCATAATTGATGTCCCACTATCACTATTTTAGCGTAATTTTTTTTACCACCCTCACCATCACAAATTTGTCTTATAATTTAGACGCCCTCATAAAACGTCAAAATTGTGACTGCCCTACACCCTTAGATTGATGACATCCTTTATGGATGACCCCCCTGAAATTACCCATTAAATTATTGTACAATTATTTGTTTCCAAAACTACAGGTTCCGAACCTCACTCGGGCAGCTTTGCGACCTCTCTGTCTGGCTGCCCAAGCTGCAGTCAATTATGATCTTGCCTGGAAAATCATCAAAGAAAAATCCACATCATCATCTTAATCGTGCTATGCAATTTTCTATAATTCTCATCATTAATGGCAGAAATGAACAGAGAAACATACTCCAGCTGAACAAATGCATATTTTAACATTTTGCTAAGTCAAGTAGCACAGAACTATACATTCTGTCTATCTCTGTAGTTCATGTTTATTTTTCAAATATTTTTTTTTTGTCTCTAAAACTTTTTACACCTTTACTTTAAATATTAAAAAAAGTATCAAAATTGGCAATATATTTTAAATTTAAAAGAAATTGTATACATTTTGCAAGGCATCTTGTCATTTGTATTTTATTTTTTTGTAAATATGAAACTTTATAATGATCTGATTATCTTTTACATAATCAGGATCAGACTGATTTTATCACGATCAGACTAATGTAAAAAAAAAAAAATTGGCAAAAATCTCCTTCAGTTTTGAAACCTAGTCCATAAAGATTCAATTTAGGATGCTTATTTATACATTATGGGGACATTATAAATTAGTATGATTAAAAAACATTTTATTATAACGTTTGAGTCCATTTTTTTATAAAAAGATAAATTGAATATCCACACCCTCAAAATATAAATTTATAAGTTAGGAAAATTCTTTAGATGCATATTATAAAAACAAGATAGATCATGTTAAAAGATATTTTTCTAATCAGCCAGTCATGTTTTTGCCTATGACAATTAAGCTCGAAGACTAGTCACAAGCAATGTTCCCTTTAAGCTGCGTGGCCGCGCAGCTATCTCACAGATGCCTTGCAGCAGTTTTGAGTATCCGCGCAGCAAATTTCTGTATGTGCATGTGTGTTTGTTGGCTTTAAAATTTTGCACAAAAAAAATTTGATTTTGTAAAATTTTGCACACAACTGTATGATTTTACACACGAACCAGAAAACCTTAGAGGGAACATTGGTCACAAGATGTTTAAATTTCATCATTTTCAGAGATTTTTGTTATTTTGATAATCAAATAAATTACTCGCATTTAGTGATTAAATTTCATGTGTTCATATATTAAAAACAAAAAAACAAAAACAAAGTCAATTTGAAACTTGTTACTGCTTCTCGCAAACAAGGCTCGCCCCACAAGAAAAAATTGTTCACTTATACTGGTAAATATTATTATGGTGCAGACTTCAGAACAACGTGGCCAGAATGCCACATTTTAGATTTTATGAATAACAAAATGAAAAATTGATTGGCTAGAAGGCTATTAAATATGATTTCTTAGAACAATTTTAAATGCCAACAGTAATTTAAAACAAAAAATTGCTGTGATAATAACAAATTTTAGAGGATTTTATTTGTTTAAAAAAAAATATGTAACTTGTCCTATGTAATCATGCATAGCTTTTAAATCATTATAGCAACTGAAAATTGTTGAAACTATATAGGCCTATAGTAAATATTTGGAACTCCTTTTGCATCATTGTTTATATTCCATATTTTAAGAAGCCTACTAAAATCTATTTATTGTTGATCATATACCTCAGCTACTAAAATTTTTTGATAATACTGAAAGCAATATTTGAACAAAATGGGATTTTTGTTTCTCACTTTTCTTAAAAATATAGAAAAAGGTCAGGCATTTTTTGACTTAGATCACAGAAAATTTATAAACAGTAAAAATAGTTGATGCATTTGTTATTTACAATATGGGAAAAACTTTTTTTTGTTTTTTAGTTTTGCAAATCATCAATGAAGTTCCTGTCAAGTAATTGCACCCAGTAATTTGTACCGGTACTTTAGAATGGTAGAATTACAATGTTGCATTTTGTATTTGACCATATTTAATCTTTAACATTAAATAAACAAATGCATTGGCTTTATTATTTGCCTGACATTCCATTGTTAAAAACAATAATGCAGCTAAGTTGGACATAAAAAAGTATTGTAAATAAATGCAGACATATAATATATATATATATTTTTTGTAACGGGTTTTTTTCAGTTACCATATTAAACATTTTTCAGCATTATATTAATGATTTGCAGTTATTTTTAATTATTAAATAATTTTTTTATGGATTTTCAGTTTGGTGATTTTAAAAATCAACGATACTGAAGAGGAAAAACAATTTTTAGGATGGTGTATTATTTATTTAAAACCAAAAATTGTAATAAGTAACTGTTTAAAAATGTTAATTTGTGTTCTTATTTTGTGTTCAAACTTGATGGTACCTGAAATATGGTTTCTGGCAGTTATGAAAACTCACAACTCTTCAGAAAGTACAGCATGTCTTCAGTTTTAAGCAAAATACAAGGTGGACTGTCAAAATAGTTTTGATTTAGAAAGTAGTTTTTTTCTTTGTTCAATCAATTTGTAATCAGGTTTTGAAAAATCTTTTCTTTCTGAAAGATAAATGAAATTTAAAGACATGTAAAGGTACTTAATTTTTAATCTTGTTTCTATTGATTTTAGTATCACATCTAAATTGTCTTATTTAAAGCAATTAAAAGGTACATTTTCAAATCCCATTATAAATTGATATTTTTGTTTTGTTTTTTGAAACATTTATTTTACAAGAAATATTGATGTTTTTTTTTCAATTAATGTTTTTTGGGGTAAATTAACATTGAAGCTAAACTAATCATTGAAGCATTTTAAATATTCAAAACATCATATTTTAACAGACTTTACTTTAAAAGAGTAATTTTCATGATTAATCCAGTATATATGTTTATCACATATTTTGTTGCAATAAAAATAAGCTGCTGTGCTACTTCTATAAAACATGAAATTAATTTCTCAATAATTTGAATTATTTCCATAACTAAAATTTCATTTTGATTTTGTTAAAAATTGTGTACACACAAGCAATGAAATTACGATTATCACCTCGACCAAATCCAAGCACAATAAAAAAAAAATCATAAAATTTTTAAAAAAAATAATTTTTTTAGCGGGCTATAGAAAAACAAAATTGAATATTTATTCTTGATTTATGCTAGGATAGTCCCACCAAAGTTAGTATTGGAGCTCTTTATTAAGCAATTTACTTTTGAGTACATGTAAATTAATATATTTATTGTAACTGTGTATCATCTGCTGAAATAGGTAACATAAATAAACTTAAATATTACCGTACACTTTTATATCAAAGTAATTAATTATTTTTTTTCTATAAAGAAGAAAAATGGTAGTTATAATGTAATAATAAGATGCATAAAAACATAAACTTTTTAAGTTAGAAAAAACTTTAGACTAAATTCATTGAATTTTTTTTATTATTAACAATTTTACGTATTTCTTCGCCTGATATGATAAGGGAATATTAAAAGTTTAACTTACAAAGGAAAGCTGAGTTTAAAAATATCTAATAAATAAATAAATTTTTTAAAAACATTGTTTGAAAAATAAGTCACAGTATAATTGTATGACACATATTCAGAAAATATTAGTATTATTTTCAATTTGCTAAAATGTAATAGTGACATTTATTAGTGTCAAATAATTATATGCTTCTTACTATGTAAGTTATGTAATTCCAAGCATATTAATATTTAACAGAAATTTAATTTAAAGCTTTAAAATTTAGATGCATTTACATTTTTCATTGTCACAAGCAATATTTATGTTGGCAAATCTGATTTACATCAGTGGTCATTAAGCAGAGTGTCTCAGTAGACATTAATTGGTCAAATCAGGCTAAATTTACGTTTATTGGGCTATTTAATTTGTTTTGTTCAATTTAATTCACTTCCTTCTAATAATTGTTTGAAATATCCTTGCTGTTAACCAAATAATACAAATAAATCTAGAATTATAGTTTGTCATTTTCAGCATTTCCAAAACCAATTTATAAAAAAAAAATGTCTCTCTTATAAATTAAGTTTCTTTATTGTTTTTCATCTTGCATATGAGTTTTAGTTTTCAATTTTCACCCCCTGAGTAACTTACTTTAACTGTACTAACAGAATTTTTAAGATTACTAATAAAGTCATTGTTTTCCAAATAATTACTATTATTTGTATTTCGTTTTTATAAAATAAATGTAAATGGATTAATCAAACAATATTATTTTGAGGGAATGAATGGCGTACGTCCAAAATTTAGTAAAACAGATCAGCTGTTCGTGGTTGCTGCCTAATTTTTCAAAGTTGGCTTGATTCCAAAATTATGTTTGTTGTTTCTCAGCTCTATTCCAGTAAGTTCAGAAGGGCTAATTAAAACAGACCCAATAATAGAGTTTTTAAAATTAAATTTATACTTTTACTCTGAATAATTTCCTTTTTCTAAATTCATGATATTATCATCCAATCCATGTTCTCTTAGCAAAATTATGACAACCACAAATGATATGAAAGTGGAAATGATATGAATCAATTCATTTGCTCTTTTCTCTCCAAAAATAAATATTTTGTTCTTTCGTGGTCATACCCCATAGTTAAAGAATTAAGAAATCAATTAAAAAAAAAATAAACTCATTAAAGAGAAAAAACTCTTAAATTAATTCTTAAATTAATTATTTTTAAACTCTGATAATAAATTATTTTAAACTTTGAATTATCAATAAACGGGTAAAATATATTTTGTCCCATTCATAAATTGTTCAAAATTGTAAATAAACTTTTAACTATATTGCAGTTTTAAAAGAAATATAGTTGCAGATATAACAATCTTTTGTAATAGTGAGCATAACTTTTTTAACAAGCTTTCTTCATGTTTCATCTCTATCCCTTTCAATAAGTAAGCTGTGTGGTCTTGTAATTAATTGTATTACCCTATTTTAGCACTCATTATTTTAAATAGATTTAGTCACTCAGATTGATATATTATCATTATTACCTTATTAAATTGTGAATTGTTTTTTTTTACTATTTGAAATTTCAAGGTTTTTAAGCAGGCTGCTTGAGTCTAATGGTACACGGGTGCGAATGGCGGCGCTGCATGTCTGGGTCCATTTTTACTCGGTGCTATTCGGATGTCATTTGTGGTAGTTTACTTTAGTTAAACTGAAGAATTACGTTTACAAACATGTAGTCCATTCAATTATCTTTCATTTGATACCTCATTTTGTCTTACAAACCCAACAATAAAATTTTAAATTGTTTTTTAATCCCAACCTCTCACTTCTGGTACCCGGGTACGAAAAGCCACCTAAAGCTTATTACAGGTCAAAGGTCAGGTTGTGATGAAAGAAAGAGGGATAGGAATGAAGGTTGGGAGATTAAAGTAAGGGTTAGGGACATGTTCAAGTGTGAGAATAGGATGTCAGTCTTGTTTAGGGACATGCCACATGGGAGAACATAATAATAGAATGACAGTCTTGGTTAGGGACATATTCAAGTGTGTGAATAGGCGACATTCTTGGTTAAGGACATGTCAAGTGTGAGAATAGGATGACTCCCTACTTAAGTAAATGTTGTTTCCATTAAAGGATATACATTTTTTTTTATAACAATTCTGTCTTTTTTTGCTTCTCATCAATAGACTAGATCTTATCAAATAAAAAGCATGAAGCCATGAAGAAAAGTTGAATTTCGCTTGTGTTGATTTTGAAGTCACTATGCTTCACATTCAATCCAGTTGCAATCCTGCTAACATGCAACCACTTTAAGAGCTATCACTGCACTGTAACAATTTGGGCCAAACTTCATAACATTAGATTCTCCAAGAGTTAAGTGCCATGCCGAAAAATTTCATTAACGTTACCCAACTGAACAAGTGATAAGTGTCATTAAAGTTAAAGTTAACCAACTAACCAAGTGTAAAATGTCATTGAAATTACTCAACTAAACTAGTGTAAAATATTCAAGTTATCCAACTAAACAGTAAAATGTCATTAAAGGTAACCAACTAAATCAGAGTAAAATGTCATTAAAGGTAACCAACTAAATCAGAGTAAAATGTTATTAAAGGTAACCAACTAAATCAGAGTAAAATGTCATTAAAGGTAACCAACTAAATCAGAGTAAAATGTCATTAAAGGTAACCAACTAAATCAGAGTAAAATGTCATTAAAGGTAACCAACTAAATCAGAGTAAAATGTCATTAAAGGTAACCAACTAAATCAGAGTAAAATGTCATTAAAGGTAACCAACTAAATCAGAGTAAAATGTCATTAAAGGTAACCAACTAAATCAGAGTAAAATGTCATTAAAGGTAACCAACTAAATCAGAGTAAAATGTCATTAAAGGTAACCAACTAAATCAGAGTAAAATGTCATTAAAGGTAACCAACTAAATCAGAGTAAAATGTCATTCAACTAACCCAGATATAAAGTATTCAAGTTAGCCAAGTAAACCAGTATAAAATATAATTAAAGTTATCCAACTAAACCAGTGTAAAATATAATTAAAGTTATCCAACTAAACCAGTGTAAAATATAATTAAAGTTACCCAACTAAACCAGTGTAAAATATAATTAAAGTTATCCAACTAAACCAGTATAAAATGTCATTAAAGCTACCCAACTAAACCAGTGTAAAATATAATTAAAGTTATCCAACTAAACCAGTATAAAATGTCATTAAAGCTACCCAACTAAACCAGTGTAAAATATAATTAAAGTTATCCAACTAAATCAGTATAAAATGTCATTAAAGCTACCCAACTAAACCAGTGTAAAATGTCATTCAAGTTGCCCAGCTAAACAGTGTAAACTGTCATTAAAGTTACCCAACTAAACAGTGTAAACTGTCATTGAAGTTACCAAAATAAACCAGTGTAAACTGTCATTGAAGTTACTCAACTAAACCAGTGTAAACTGTCATTAAAGTTACCCAACTAAACCAGTGTAAACTGTCATTGAAGTTACCCAACTAAATCAGTGTAAACTGTCATTGAAGTTACCCAACTAAACCAGTGTAAACTGTCATTGAAGTTACCCAACTAAACCAGTGTAAACTGTCATTGAAGTTACCCAAACACAAAAGCCCCATTTATTTCCAGGAAATGTAACAAGAATGCATGGAATAGATGTAATTTATTGTTCTAAGAAACAAAGAGATCACCACAGACATCCACTTATAAAACTAGGATCTCTCTACAAATTTACAATAGTTTAACAGGTTTTTTTCTCTCTCTCTCTCATTTAAATAAGCTGTATAATTATTATGTAACATCAATAACCAGACATATCACAGATACAAAACATTGAACTTCCATGTTCAACTATCTTACAAAATGTATTTCCATACAGTTCACAATCATAAACATCTCTTCCCATGTATTCAGAGTAAAATAATGGTAAAATCCTAATCATATACAAGAATGAAAACAGTTAAATCCAAGTACAGAAATACTTTGGCTAATGCCTTGTTGTTTAAACAGCCATACCACACAACAGCTACGAGCAATGAGGACACTGTCTATCCTCGCAACTGGTGTGCTGCCATTCACTGATGCGAGGACAGCCATACCACACAACAGCTACGAGCAATGAGGACACTGTCTATCCTCACAACTGGTGTGCTGCCACTCACTGATGCAAGGACAACCATACCACACAACAGCTACGAGCAATGAGGACACTGTCTATCCTTACAACTGGTGTGCTGCCGCTCACTGATGCAAGGACAGCCATACCACACAACAGCTATGAGCAATGAGGACACTGTCTATCCTCACAACTGGTGTGCTGCCGCTCACTGATGCAAGGACAGCCATACAACACAACAGCTACGAGCAATGAGGACACTGTCTATCCTTACAACTGGTGTGCTGCCGCTCACTGATGCAAGGACAGCCATATCACACAACAGCTATGAGCAATGAGGACACTGTCTATCCTTACAACTGGTGTGCTGCCGCTCACTGATGCAAGGACAGCCATACCACACAACAGCTACGAGCAATGAGGACACTGTCTATCCTTACAACTGGTGTGCTGCCACTCACTGATGCAAGGACAGCCATACAACACAACAGCTACGAGCAATGAGGACACTGTCTATCCTTACAACTGGTGTGCTGCCGCTCACTGATGCAAGGACAGCCATATCACACAACAGCTACGAGCAATGAGGACACTGTCTATCCTTACAACTGGTGTGCTGCCGCTCACTGATGCAAGGACAGCCATATCACACAACAGCTATGAGCAATGAGGACACTGTCTATCCTTACAACTGGTGTGCTGCCACTCACTGATGCAAGGACAGCCATACCACAACAGCAGCTATGACCAATGAGGACAATGTCTATCCTCCAGCCTGGTGTGCTGCTGCTGCTCTCTGATGCCAAGATTGAATGAGAAGTGTCTGAAGTTTACATTTGAGACAATCTTAATCTAAGATGTCATGGCATTTTTTACCATTCAAGCCACAAACCATCCCCTGACATAATGTGGTAGGTCAATTATGACATTCACCAGCTCTCACCTGACATTTCAACACCCCAAGAATAATACAAACAGCAAACTTAAAAAAAACAAACAAGCAACTGAACACATTCAGTAATGGAAAGAGTATTTAAATTATCAGATATTCTCTGCACATTATTTCATTTTTAAATGATAAAATATTTTTTGCAGACTTCAGCTTGATTCTATTAATCTAATGCCTGAATTATTCAGAAATATTTTGAATTGACTGATTTTTGGGCTCAGTTTTGGTTCATTACCGTAATCTGCAAATTTTCCTTAATCTCAGATGAAATTGTCTCAATCTGTGATTGTGAGTGAGCACATCAATAAAAAAAACAACAAATTAATTATCGTAATATCTAATATTAAAGCATTTCTTGGTATTACATCAGAAAAAAGACTAAGATAAATTCCGAAACTTTTAACGACAAATAAAATATAGTTTTCCTATTACCTGTAGAATTTTTCCATTCTTGTCATTTACATAGAGCTGCTAAATTATTATATTAGAAATTTTCAGGGGTTTTTCCTTCAGAGAAGGTGTAAAAAAGATTCATGAAAAAGCTTTACAAATTGTGAGTCTCGGAGCGGTCCTTTGTGTACAGAGCGAGTGGTTTTTGTTTTATTTACCTTAAAATAAAAAACAAAAGCAAACGGTCCTGAAAAGTGTTGTTTATCACCGTGGTAACAAACACAAAAGTATCTTGTTGAATGACGGTGTTGTTCTTTACAGAAAAATGATACGTTTTTTGGCCGTGTTTAAGATTCTACCTCCATATGGCATGCAATTGCAAAAAAGTTCCTACCTACTGATGGTTGAGTCAGTAAAAATGAATGAGAAAACAACAATTAACAAAATCCTACGTGTAAGCACGAAATTTGATGAGAGCTGGAGACGAATTCATCACATGTCGGTGATTCTTGATAGACCCAAGAAAAATGCCAACATTTCAGCATTAACCTTTATTTATGAAATTCCAATCGTTGGGAAAGGTGAGGGTGTCAATCATTACAAGAATTACCATGTACAGTATTGTGCTGAGCCCACGATGGTATTGTGCTGAGCCCATGATGGTATTGTGCTGAGCCCATGATGGTATTGTGCTGAACCCATAAATAATATTTCCTTGAAGACTTGAGAGCTTGGGATTTTTAATGAGCTCTAAACCTACTTAGATTTTAATGAGCTCTAAACCTACTTAACTTTTAATGAGCCCTAAACCTACTTAACTTTTAATGAGCCCTAAATCTACTTAACTTTTAATGAGCCCTAAACCTACTTAACTTTTAATGAGCTCTAAACCTACTTAACTTTTAATGAGCTCTAAACCTACTTAACTTTTAATGAGCTCTAAACCTACTTAACTTTTAATGAGCTCTAAACCTACTTAACTTTTAATGAGCTCTAAACCTACTTAACTTTTAATGAGCTCTAAACCTACTTAACTTTTAAAGAGCTCTAAACCTACTTAACTTTTAATGAGCTCTAAACCTACTTAACTTTTAATGAGCCCTAAACCTACTTAACTTTTAATGAACTCTAAACCTACTTAACTTTTAATGAGCTCTAAACCTACTTAACTTTTAATGAGCCCTAAACCTACTTAACTTTTAATGAGCCCTAAACCTACTTAACTTTTAATGAGCTCTAAACCTACTTAACTTTTAATGAGCTCTAAACCTACTTAACTTTTAATGAGCTCTAAACCAACTTAACTTTTAATGAGCTCTAAACCCACTTAACTTTAAATGAGCCCTAAATCTACTTAACTTTTAATGAGCCCTAAACCTACTTAACTTTTAATGAGCTCTAAACCTACTTAACTTTTAATGAGCTCTAAACCTACTTAACTTTTAATGAGCTCTAAACCTACTTAACTTTTAATGAGCTCTAAACCTACTTAACTTTTAATGAGCTCTAAACCTACTTAACTTTTAATGAGCTCTAAACCTACTTAACTTTTAATGAGCTCTAAACCTACTTAACTTTTAATGAGCTCTAAACCTACTTAACTTTTAATGAGCTCTAAACCTACTTAACTTTTAATGAGCTCTAAACCTACTTAACTTTTAATGAGCTCTAAACCTACTTAACTTTTAATGAGCTCTAAACCTACTTAACTTTTAATGAGCTCTAAACCTACTTAACTTTTAATGAGCTCTAAACCTACTTAACTTTTAATGAGCTCTAAACCTACTTAACTTTTAATGAGCTCTAAACCTACTTAACTTTTAATGAGCTCTAAACCTACTTAACTTTTAATGAGCTCTAAACCTACTTAACTTTTAATGAGCTCTAAACCTACTTAACTTTTAATGAGCTCTAAACCTACTTAACTTTTAATGAGCTCTAAACCTACTTAACTTTTAATGAGCTCTAAACCTACTTAACTTTTAATGAGCTCTAAACCTACTTAACTTTTAATGAGCTCTAAACCTACTTAACTTTTAATGAGCTCTAAACCTACTTAACTTTTAATGAGCTCTAAACCTACTTAACTTTTAATGAGCTCTAAACCTACTTAACTTTTAATGAGCTCTAAACCTACTTAACTTTTAATGAGCTCTAAACCTACTTAACTTTTAATGAGCTCTAAACCTACTTAACTTTTAATGAGCTCTAAACCTACTTAACTTTTAATGAGCTCTAAACCTACTTAACTTTTAATGAGCTCTAAACCTACTTAACTTTTAATGAGCTCTAAACCTACTTAACTTTTAATGAGCTCTAAACCTACTTAACTTTTAATGAGCTCTAAACCTACTTAACTTTTAATGAGCTCTAAACCTACTTAACTTTTAATGAGCTCTAAACCTACTTAACTTTTAATGAGCTCTAAACCTACTTAACTTTTAATGAGCTCTAAACCTACTTAACTTTTAATGAGCTCTAAACCTACTTAACTTTTAATGAGCTCTAAACCTACTTAACTTTTAATGAGCTCTAAACCTACTTAACTTTTAATGAGCTCTAAACCTACTTAACTTTTAATGAGCTCTAAACCTACTTAACTTTTAATGAGCTCTAAACCTACTTAACTTTTAATGAGCTCTAAACCTACTTAACTTTTAATGAGCTCTAAACCTACTTAACTTTTAATGAGCTCTAAACCTACTTAACTTTTAATGAGCTCTAAACCTACTTAACTTTTAATGAGCTCTAAACCTACTTAACTTTTAATGAGCTCTAAACCTACTTAACTTTTAATGAGCTCTAAACCTACTTAACTTTTAATGAGCTCTAAACCTACTTAACTTTTAATGAGCTCTAAACCTACTTAACTTTTAATGAGCTCTAAACCTACTTAACTTTTAATGAGCTCTAAACCTACTTAACTTTTAATGAGCTCTAAACCTACTTAACTTTTAATGAGCTCTAAACCTACTTAACTTTTAATGAGCTCTAAACCTACTTAACTTTTAATGAGCTCTAAACCTACTTAACTTTTAATGAGCTCTAAACCTACTTAACTTTTAATGAGCTCTAAACCTACTTAACTTTTAATGAGCTCTAAACCTACTTAACTTTAAATGAGCTCTAAACCTACTTAACTTTTAATGAGCTCTAAACCTACTTAACTTTTAATGAGCCCTAAACCTACTTAACTTTTAATGAGCCCTAAACCTACTTAACTTTTAATGAGCCCTAAACCTACTTAACTTTTAATGAGCCCTAAATCTACTTAACTTTTAATGAGCTCTAAACCTACTTAACTTTTAATGAGCTCTAAACCTACTTAACTTTCAATGAGCCCTAAACCTACTTAACTTTTAATGAGCCCTAAACCTACTTAACTTTTAATGAGCCCTAAACCTACTTAACTTTTAATGAGCTCTAAACCTACTTAACTTTAAATGAGCTCTAAACCTACTTTACTTTCAATGAGCTCTAAATCTACTTAAATTTTAATGAGCTCTAAACCTACTTAACTTTCAATGACTTTGGGTGAGTGTTGAACTTTAATTTAATTCACATAAAAACTTTTAAAAAGTGTTGGCTGAATGGGCTGACAAAATGGGTGCAAAGTCATTGCAGCTATAAATAGATGTTATTTGTGGTACAAGTGAGATGGATGAGGTGTGTTCACTAGCTCACAGTGCTTCTAGATCCACATGTCTTATCTCAGGATGTTGGCTCTGGAACAATAGAACAAAATAAATTTGACATACAGTCTTTGCAGGCTGTTGTTTTTTTTTTCACTGCTTTTCTTAGAATATATCAACTGAAATACATTTTTAAATAAACAAACAAAATTCAAAAGTGAGATTAAAAAAAAAAAGTATTTGTGAAAAATGGAAGTAATTATATTTAAGGTAATGGATTTATAGAATAAGATGCTAAACTCTGCTGATTGTTTTATATATATGAGCTATTTTTGGTCTCGTACAACTCATATAATTTATACACTTCTGTTTTGTACCACTCACATTTATAAACTATTTTTGGTCTTGTACAACTCTTATTTATTAACCATTTTAGGTATTGTGTCACATATATTTATAAACCAGCTTAGGTCTTACACCATCCATATTTATAAACAATACTAAACCTTGAGTCCCAGAATGAATCAAGTATATATGACTGATCTTAAAACTTAAATATGAGCATATCAGAAAATGTCAGTGCAACTAAAACTGGTTGTCAGTCTGTCACCAGTCCACAAAAAAAATTTAACGTGGCACCAATCCTTGCTAGTTCATTTGGGTCTGTCCCGTTGAAAACTTTGAGAAGCACTGTGTTATCCCTCACCTGAAACATCCTAGTTTTTATGATTGAAAAAGCTCCCTACCTTCAAAGCCTTCTCTATCCTGTCCACCTCTGCCCCCAACTCATCAATGATTTTTTCTCCATGATTCATCATGAAGACTTCAAGATCTTCAACTGTCTTTAGCTTTTGAACCTCCTGTGAAAAATGGTATGAAAATTGTTCACAAGCTAATGTTTAAGATTTAAAAAAAAATAGATATAGATATAGATGTGATCTGTTCTGTTGTTAATTAATATTCTCTTCAATTAAGATGTAAAATGGATAATATTAATACATTTGTTTCTCTTAAATATAAACAAAAATTAGATAAAATTCTTTATTTGATACAAATAAATGAAAATGTTTTTTTATTACATCTTACATATTCATTTTCAGCACATAAATAAATACATACTTTAACCAAGACATTTTACAATTATGACAATTTAAACATAGGGCATCTAGCGTTCCTCTAGCATAGAAATGAATTTTTATATCTCTCGGTCTTAACTTTAAGAGAAAGAATTCATCCTGATCAAGTCGATCTTAGGGATCTGTGATGAAGTTTTAAAAGTTGTACAATAGCATTTTTCTTCAAATAGTTCCTAAAATCCTTAGTGAAAGCCGCCTGAGATGGCTAGGTCATGTTAAAAGAATGAGTCCCGGCCGCATTCCGAAAGACCTCCTATATGGTGAACTTGCTTCAGGAAAGAGGAAAACAGGTCGCCCACGTCTGCGATTTAAAGATGTCTGTCAAAGGGACATGAAAGCAGCCAAAATACATACAAGTGACTGGGAGTGTAAGGCAGAAGACCGATCTACGTGGCACATAGTTGTCAAAGAGGGCGTCATGGTAGCCAAGGAGCGAAGAATGGAAGAGGCTGCAGACAGAAGAGCTAGGAGAAAGGCCAAAACATTTAGAAGCACAGAACTCGTGTGTAAAAATTGTGGTAAAGACTGTCACTCAAGGATAGGACTGCAGAGCCACTCAAGAAAATGCAACCCAACCCAACGGTGATGCACCATCGTCTCACGAGACGGAAGGATGCCGATAGTTCCTAAAATAGTTCATGTTAGATAAGGTATAGATTTTATAAACTGTTTTAAAATGTGGCTTTAATTTACTCTAGAAATTGACAATTTAAATGAATGTTTCTCTTAAAAATATCAAACTTTATAAATTTTATTTAATTTTGCCACATTCACAGCATCTTAGTGCATGTCAATATTCTAGGTACATAATTTACAAAAGGTCAGCATTGGGATGAACAACTAAACAATACATTCACAAAATAGAGGTCAGCACCGGTGGATCCAATATGTGGACAAAAAACAACCAAAACAAAGCTCCAATACTGTGAGTTACATTGAAGGGCAAGATGGCCACCATCACATGAGGAGAAGGCTTAAATGAGGAGTATCCAGCAAAGATTTTGACTCACAGCTAACATGAGATCCATATCCTGCTTGTAGAGGTAGGCCCTTGTGATCTCCCTGCCGTCAAAATCCACCTCAGCTTTGTAGCGCACCACACCACCCATCATGGTGGCTTTGATGTCATGCAGTGACCTGGTTGGGGGGTGATACAAATAAAGTGTACAGGTGTGTATGCATCAGTCACCTGTGTTGGAGCAGATATCTGGTTATGATAAACTGATGTGTTGTTTGTGTGTGTGTGTGTCTTTCCAAAGCCAGCAGCCCCAGGATAACTTTCAACAATGGAGTTGGCCACGGAACAAAATCCATTGGAGCACCCGNGGGGGGGGGGGGGGGGGGGGGGGATGTCAGGGCAGATAAAATGTGGGGCATGGCATATATAATGTGAAATAGTAAATTCTACTCCTTAGGGAGAAACAAATATCTAGTCCAGTCTTTGGGGAGAGAACAAAATTATCCATTCATCTCTCATTACCAAACACCGAGTGGATGAACTTGATATTCTCAACTGGCACATGTTTGAATCCACAGACACTTAGAAATCTAGATTTTCACTTCTAGTACAAAAAAGCACAAGGAAATCTTTTATACCTTAATTATTTACTCTCGTTTAGAAAGATCTGAAAAAGATATTTAGAATTACAAGAGTGATTACATAGGATTGACCATACAACATCTGATCACTCTAAATCAGGGTGGGGCCATACTTTTTGTGTGTGTAAAGGGCTTCATGGAAATTTTTTAAAAAATTGTCAGAATGCATAACTTTCGAGAAATCTACATGTTTTAGACAATAATGTAACACATTTTAAAATAAATGTAAAATAACTCCGGTGACATTGACAACTAACATGATGGCACAGCCATTCTCTGTATCTACTCAGATACATTACACAGTACCTGATCATTCTGTCCCTCTCCAGCCACTGGCTGATTTCTTGTCTTTCTGTCTCAGGAATAGACCTGGGCCAAGAGACAGGAATGCATTTTAATTTTTCCCCTACAAACATTAAGCTAAAAAGAAAGTGAAGATTTAACACAACAAAAACAACAAAATTAAAACGATACCCACTCGTAGTATTGCTGTTTTTTATCAATGAGAAGAGAGCATGATTAAAATATACAAGTTTACCGTCTGACCTAGTAGAGTTTATCTCTTGCATTTTTTTTCTGCACTTATAGAAATAATAGGCATAAAATATATCCACACAGCCTACCAGCTCACCAACCGGTAAATGTTCTGACTGCCTACCTGCTCACCAACTGGTGAAAGTTCTGACTGCCTACCAGCTCACCAACCAGTAAATGTTCTGACTGCCTACCTGCTCACCAACTGGTGAAAGTTCTGACTGCCTACCTGCTCACTAACAGGTGAATGTTCTGACTGCCTACCTGCTCACTGACAGGTGAATGTTCTGACTGCCTACCTGCTCACTAACAGGTGGATGTTCTGACTGCCTACCTGCTCACTAACAGGTGAATGTTCTGACTGCCTACCTGCTCACTAACAGGTGAATGTTCTGACTGCCTGCCTGCTCACCAACTGGTGAAAGTTCTGACTGCCTACCTGCTCACTAACAGGTGAATGTTCTGACTGCCTACCTGCTCACTAACAGGTGAATGTTCTGACTGCCTACCTGCTCACTAACAGGTGAATGTTCTGACTGCCTACCTGCTCACTAACAGGTGAATGTTCTGACTGCCTACCTGCTCACTAACAGGTGAATGTTCTGACTGCCTACCTGCTCACTAACAGGTGAATGTTCTGACTGCCTACCTTCCCGCCAACTGGTGAATGTTCTGACTGCCTACTTGCTCACCAACTGGTGAATGTTCTGACTGCCTACTTGCTCACCAACTGGTGAATGTTCTGATTGTCTAGCTGCTCACTAACAGGTGAATGTTCTGACTGCCTACCTCCTCACCAAATGGTGAATGTTCTGATTGTCTACCTGCTCACTAACAGATGAATGTTCTGACTGCCTACCTGCTCACTGACAGGTGAATGTTCTGACTGCCTACCTGCTCACTAACAGGTGGATGTTCTGACTGCCTACCTGCTCACTAACAGGTGAATGTTCTGACTGCTTACCTGCTCACTAACAGGTGAATTTTCTGACTGCCTACCTGCTCACCAAATGGTGAATGTTCTGATCGCCTACCTTCCCAACCAACTGGTGAATGTTCTGATTGTCTACCTGCCCACCAACTGGTGACTGTTATGCCCACCTGGCAATCAACTGGCAAATATTCTGAATGCCTACCTGCCCACCAACTGGTGAGTGTTCTGGTGGATGATGAAAGCTGCCACGGACCCAAGCAGGGTTCCTATCAGAGCGGACCCAGCAGCATCAGCAAGAGATGAGCCGGTTAGAGCTGAGACGGTGATGCAGATACCGGCTATCCCCACACCTAGCACAGCAGCAAAATCTTCCAGCAAGACCACGTTGACATTGGGATCCACGCCTCTCATACCTGCCAGATGGGAGGAATGAATCAAGCAAACATAAAGCACAGGTTACAATTCTGAAACGAAACAAAACCGACATATATTTTTTTTTCTTCTAAAAACATTCGCGGCAGGCAGTCGAGTTAAAACTTTAACAAATCAGCTTGGCTAAGTGTGTGTGTTGTGTGAGTGTTGTCTGAGTGTTGTGGATGTGTTGTCTGAGTGTTGTGTGTGTTGTGTGAGTGTTGTGTTTGTGTTGTGGGTGTTTTGTGTGTGTGTTGTGTGGGTGTGTTTGTGTGTTGTGGGTACACCAACTTACAGTATTCTTTGAACCCCATGTTCAACGCTTGAGAGCTTTTCTTGACCTGGTTGATGGCAATGAGCAGGGTGGCTGGTGGGAGGGATAAGTGATAAAAATGTGGTGACAATATAAAGGGAGGCCAAACTAAAATGTTCATCACTAAATATTTTTAACTACTGAGAGATAGAATTGCAGCTTACCCCCTTCTGATATCAGTGATCCAATCAAGGTAGCCACACACTAAGGAGAAATGACAAGTTGAAATTAAACATTTCTTCAGCATAACATCTTTGGACTAAAATTTAACATTTCTTTAACTTAACACATATGACTGAAATTTAACATTTCTTTAACTTAACACCTTTGGACTATAATCTAACATTTCTTCAACCTAACATTTTTTCAGCATAACATCTTTGGACTAAAATCAAACATTTCTTCAACCCAACATTTCTTCAACTGAACATCTCTAGATTAAAATTTAACATTTCTTTAACTTAACATCTTTGGACTAAAATCTAACATTTCTTCAACCTAACATTTCTTCATCATAACATCTTTGGACTAAAATCAAACATTTCTTCAATCCAACATTTCTTCAACTGAACATCTCTAGATTAAAATATAACATTTCTTCAGCATAACATTCATAGAGTAAAATCTAACATTTCTGATTAAAAAAGGACAGAAAATACATTTTAAAAAAAGTTTAAATTTCAATGAATAGACTCTAGACTACTGCCTGAAACAGAAAAATCTGAAACCCTGGCTAAATAAATTATTAAGCTGAAATTAGAGAAGTTAAAAAAACAACAACATTAAATTTAACATGATGGGCCTCATTCTCATTTCAATCACATGCTTGTTAATTGTTTGAACTCAAGGGCACCTCATTAGGAGACTACTCTTGACATATCAGCAAGGCACTTTTCTGTGCTTTCCCTTTGGAATTCTCTCTGTATATAAATGTCCAACTTGTCCGACCCCTTCGTGCCATCTCAGTACACCTCACATAGCAACTTCTATCTTTTTGTAAGTGACATACCTGTCCATGTTAGATTACCTAGTAGACTGTGATAGTAAGATAAGTTACCCAGTAGACTGTGGTGGTAAGACACGTTTTTACCTACCCATGTTAGGTTACCCAGTTCTGTAGGATGAAGAAATCCTTGTAGACTGTGATAGTAAGACAGTCCAGTGCCAAAGAAAAATATTCCTACTCCACTGATAAGAGAGGAGATGTGTCGTAAGTTACGATATCCGTATCTGAGGAAGTAGTTCCCATGAGCACATGAAATAAACTGTTTGACTCAATGTAAAAACCATTTCTTAAACAAAAAATTTGAGTTCAATCAAACTGATTGATAATATTTGAAAATACTTAATTCTATCTAACCCATTCATTAAAAAAAATATATATTTAAAATGTATAATTTTAAATTTGATTAACAGTGAAGACTACATCACAGCATATTAACAATTGATGATGATCTTTGTAGGACAGACCCAGCTTAACTTATTTTAAAGTTATCGTTGTCAAGTTATCTTGTGATGTGTCGTGTACAAAAAAAACCCAAAGAGCAACAGTTGGTAAAACAAGAAAGGTTAGTTCACAAAAACTCACGGGTGATCAGTGTCTGGCTTCTTGAAAGAATGATACAAGCCAAAGCCAAGAACAATCTATTGCCAAAGAAAAACCGGAGACAGGTTAACATACCTTAACGCTTTTCTTGGTGCGGAAATGAAAAAAATAAAAAAATTTGGAGCAATGAAACAAAACACTTAAATCACTTCAAATAAACCGAGTCAAAGGACAGCTGCCAACTTAGAATGAGAATGCAAGTCTAGCCACAAAATATTAAACAAAACAATGTCAAACCAGAAAAACATACCTAAAGACAAAATGTTTGAGCATATTAAAGAAAAACAATGTCTAACCAAAGACATAAATGACATGTTTTGAACACACACACACAACAAAATTTTTAAAAAATCGCAACAAAAAAAACTTATTTATTGTGTCAGCTGGACTTACAGTGTTCAAACATAAACAATCTACAACATAAATAAACAAACCTGATTCATTGTGTCAGCGAACGAGTGCACAAACTCAGAGAACATACTGTGTGATCCCGTGTACAGCCAGGCTATGAGCTTCGTCAGTGTGTTGGCTCCATTCCTAAAACAATGCATGAACATGAGAGATTATTTCAAACCTAAAAGATGATACAGTTATACCATTCCTAATAATACAAGATATAACTATCAGAGACTTAATCAAGCCAAGAAAGTCATAATAAGATTTATTCTAACTAATGAAATAGTAGAACAAGGTAAATTTAAGCTTGAATTAAAAGACAGGACAGTAAGATGTGAACGTTTCAGCTTATTTTTCACAGTACCAATATTTATATTCTTTCACTTCCTGGAATCCTACTTCCGGGGACAACAAAGTTTTTTTTATTGTGCTCTGTTTTTTGTTTTCTTTTCATTTGTCCTGTTCACTGAAAAAGGCTCCAATCAACATACCTTGCTTATTCTACTATTTCATTCAAACATCTTGAATGTAGTCCTTCAATTATTATCTTTTATTCCAACTAAGAAGTCACAATCAGATTTATTCAAACCAAGAAAGTCACATTCAGATTTATTCAAACCAAGAAAGTCCCAATAAGATTTATTTTTTGCATCATTTTAAGTTTCTGATGCAGTAAATATTACTTAAAATAATATATTAATAATAAACTTGAATTATAAGTTTAATTTTATTCCACAGTATAAAATCATTAATATATAAAAAAAAAGAGATCAAAGGAACCCGATTTCTTGAATTATGAGCTGCTTCAATCAATCATTTATATTATTTCTTTCAGAATAATGGTCTAATTTTTTTAATATTTCAATGTGCCACCATTACTAACACCAAGACAGCAGACAGCACAACTTTTGTTGACCCTGAACTCCAGAAAGTTGGTTCCTGAAATATACAATTATTATATTCACAATTTTAGTGTAATGCAATTATTTCTTATGGCAAGGTTTCCCTAATTTGATCATGGAGCCCTTAAAAACACCACAGAGTTTTTTTTTTGGGGGTGCAAGAAAACATGGATCTTTTTATTACTGTAAAATTATCTAATTTAAAGTTTATTCATCCCCAAAATTAGTGTGAGATTTGATGCAACTTTTTTTACCCACTCCCCTCCAACTGACTTTATCTGTGGTTTATCAATCAGGATGTAGTCCTGTAGTTTGACATGGTTTGCTAGCAGTTTCATTCAAGGTCTATGAATATCCATGTTAACAGGCCACCACACTTGCATCTTGAGCTTGCTTTTGTTGTTTTTAAAAAAAAAAAAAGATAATTTCCCTTTAGATCCAGTGAGCTGTGTTCTGGTGGAATTTCAGCCTAAAGGGTGCCAATTAACTATTCAAGAGAACACTACACTTCCAAGTCTTAAAATTCTATACACATCCAAGTGGTAGAATTCTACACTTCCAAGTGTTAAAATTCTATACCTCCAAGTCCAAAAATTCTATACATCCACGTGTTAGAATTCTACACTTCCAAGAGTTAAAATTCCATACTTCCAAGTCCAAAAATTCTATACACATCCAAGTGGTAGAATTCTACACTTCCAAGTGTTAAAATTCTATACTTCCAAGTCCAAAAATTCTACACATCCAAGTGGTAGAATTCTACACTTCCAAGTGTTAAAATTCTACACATCCAAGTCCCAAATTCTACACATCCTAGTGTTAGAATTCTACACTTCCATGTGTTAAAATTCTTTATCTTCAAAGTTTTAAAATTCTATGCTTCCAAATCCCATGGTTTTACATGTGTTTACAGTGTATTCAGTGGTCACAGTTGATGTGGCAGCAACTTTCTAATTTTAAATAACTTCTTGCTTCTTTTCCAGGTGAAAATTTAAGACGAGTTAAATTACAGAAAATTTACTGATTACCCTGACTCAGAACACCCACCCCCTCTTCCACAGAGAGCACCCTTACAGTCACTGGCAACTGTGTTGAGACAGAATTCACTTTGTGAGATTGCACCTACTTTTGGCTGCGCTGAAGGGGTTGCTCCATCATTGATGTTTCTGGTATTTGGATCATCAGGATTCACAAAGCCAGAGGATGAATGCATCTCTCCAAGTAACATCCTTATATCTGTGATGTCAACTGGGGGGAAATATACAAATATGTCCTCTTTTAATACAGTTCCGTTAACTAATCAGGTTCTTTTTCTTCCTTCCTTGTTTTTAACTATCAGTGTTTTTAAGTAAATGACGAAAGTCAGTATATACAATTTAATTTAAACAAATTTCCATGTCTACGGATCAAAAAAGAATCTTATCTATCTTATTTTGTCTTATTTTACCTTATCATATCCTTTTTTTAAAAATTTCTCTGAAACCCTAAATTCTGAGGTACGGTGACCATGCTTATAACAAGAGAATAAAAAAGGAAAATCTTACAATTTTTCAAACTGTCAGAACTTCTAATTTTGGCCTTCTCTTTGTTCAACTTATCAAAGTCTCCCCATTTTTTTAATGCACTGAAACAAATCAAGAAAATTTTACTTGTTTTGGTCAGTATGGTCGGTTATCTGCAAAGTGTTATTTAAAAAAAATAAAAATATATATATTTGAGCTTGAACAGGACAGCCTTAAAAAAATATTAAGTAAAATATAAAGTAAATGTAGATGTAACTAGTGAACTATAAGTAATTTAGTCTGTTATCTGATCTTCCCTAATAAAATTTTGAACTGATAAAATGTTAACTTGTTTAATGCACTGATAGAATAGGGAAAATCTAATGGGCGGTGTTTAGCACTGAGACAATATTTCTCTTTAAAAAAATGTCATTTTAAGTGTACATGTATTATATGACATCATGTGTAAACATATCTATATGTTGACATGAGTATATGTTTCTCTGAGCACACTGCTTGTTACTCACACTTCCTCCACATCAGATCTGAGATATAGCGTGATTCGTGTACCATCGTCATAAGGACTTCTCCTGGTGTACTTTGGCAGCTCCACCAAATCACTGAGAACATTAGACTTTGTTTTTATTATTTGTGACAATTATTGAACCAAATCTCATACTAGTAGTTTCACCAAATCTTGCATCCACCTAATGCATTTTTTAATTTGAAAATATTCCCCTTCTAATATATTTATTGAATAGCTTAGAGAACTGTAGAACTTAGAAAATAAACTTGTGACTTATGACAAAAAGGAACATAACAATGAATAAATTTGTTTTAGCATTTAGAAACATTTGTATCATAGCTTAAAAGCTAATGTCTCCTCCGTTCTTATGATAACTTTTCCTGAAATGCTCTTGGCAACCCCTGGGATTGCTTGTGCTGACACCCCAGGTTGGGAAACGTTGGCATATGACAGATTTAATAGAGTACGACCAAACCTTGGCTTAAGGAGATATTCCATGACAGCTCGTCGAGGCAGGATGTAAATGTTTCCAGTATAGCTATAGTCAATGGGGTTTGGTTTCCGCATACGAGGGATCACTGAAAATATAAAGACAAAGATTTGAAATTTAGTTCAAAATTTCTATAATAGAAAATTTTCAGCACAACTGTGGTTATCATGCAACAATGTGCTAAGCTTTTGATGAGGACACACACAAATGTACAAAAATATATTATTCAACACTTTAATTTTAAAAAAATAAAATTTGGCCTTTTTTCATACCCATAAAAACTAAATTACTTTTTGTGTGTGTATGAAAATGTTATTTTAAAAATTCTGAAAATATACAATGAAATAACACAATGCAGCTTATGAGCATGAAAAATGAACTTTACCACTCAACAATTTGTTTTTCTTTCTTTCAACCTCAGCAGCAACGTCAGGCCCTTCACCCGAAGTCCCTGGTTTGGTGTCAGTAGAGCTGAGAACTTTAGGGTCGGGGCCAAAAACTTGCTGACCGCCTGGAGCTTTTGATGAAGGAGTTGAGCCAGTAACATTGTTACTGTTCTGGTCCCCATCTGTAGTAGGTGGGGGTTTAGTGGATGAATGACGGTTGAAACAGAGTTGCCAGGTGACAGATTTTTTATGTAAAGTGTAGGGTGGGCTGTACACACCAGTGATGCAAGTTACATTAGAGTATCTTGCTAGGGACTGACTGTGGTTTCTTCTTGTCTTCACTCTAGCAAGCTGATGTTGACATTCTGGAGAAAAAAATTGGAGTTTAAAATAAAAATATCAACTCTGTTGAATGAAAGCTTGTTTTTTAAAAGACCCACCCACAAGAAGAATACATTTGTGAACTTAAATTTTATTTTATGATAACAAAATGTCAGTGGAAAATGTCCATTCTTTGTTTTTTTAAACTTTAGTAATGAAACTATTTAATCAATTTGGTGGGGGAAATGGTCCCATATTATGAAAGCTAATTTAAAAAGTAAAATTCTTTAAAAAAGTACTTCAATTAATAAAATTATCCTTTAACCTGATAAAGATTATTTTCTACTTTAAAAATTAATATAAATTAAAAAAGCTTAGCGTACAGATGAAATCATTTTAATTTATTTTATAAAATTATATTTAAGTCAATAGTGGGTCATTTCATTTATTTGACTTCTAATGTTTTTATGATTTTTCCTTATTTTATTTTATATCTCCCAAATTTAAGCACTGATCACTTAATGGAATAAAATGTTAATACTAACGATGGCAGAGGTAAACTGGTGCTACAATAGACTGTCTTAGACAAGACACAGATTTAACAAATGCTTGCATTTCTGCATATGAGGCCAAGGGTAACTTGAACATCTTAGCATCAAATCTGGGGAAAAAAAAATGCTTTACCTCAAATAACAGACGATACAATTTCATGGAACAATATTTTAAAAGTTTGAAAGAATGATTTATTTATGGACAATGTAAGCACATTTTAGAATATTACTCAACATTCCAATTCTAAAAATTGTGAGTGTGCTTATCTGTTGACTAATGGGGGGGGGGGGCTCACTCTTGTCATCCGAGGGCTGCTGGGGCAAGTTCATCTGGGAGTGAGCCAATGGCCCAAGAGGCTGATACTTGCACAGAAAGTTCTTGCGCTAGAAGAGCAAATAATGAATAGGAAATCTCTAGAAGCAATGGCAGCACAGGATTTTTGTGGGTTTGACACTAGAGCTCTGCGGCAGCTTTTAGTTGGCCTCAGGCTGCATGGAGGCAGGAGAACACCAAGAGACTCACTCATTCTCTGTTTGCTCCTACATGACAGGGTGGATGCTGTTTGCTCCTACATGACAGGGTGGATGCTGGACACTTTCAGTGAGGGTTGCGCTGGCACTGCAGATGTGTACTGCCGAGTTAGGTGGAGCTGTTAACCAGTTTAAGTCTTTGCCCACTGACAGTGATGTTGGGCTCTTCAAAAGGCTTTCCAGGAGCTGACTGAACTGACTGGTTAAGACTTCAGTTTTTCTTCATACTGATAGTAAGACCAGAGCAGTCGGGTGTCTTTTTGAGGCCTCCTGCCAATTTTCAGTTTTGCGCCCCTGCATTCAAAGTTAATATTTTAATAAAATGCTCCGCATCACAACTTTGGGCCTCTTAAATATCTGAAGCCCCTTGCAGCCGCAAGGATGGCAGGAATCACACAGCAGCTCTTGAGTAAGACAGAAGCTGATGTAGGCACTGGAGAGCTTTCAACACTACATTGCAAAGGCAAGGATGAAAGAGTGAGGCTGACGAATTGCTAAACTCTCCCTCACTTTAATCAAAATAAAGCTATTACCCCTAGATGTCTAAGCTACCATATTTGCGAACCCCTTTGCTTTCCAGGCACAAATAGGACTTTGATGATATAATTTTTTCACATTTATGAACAAAGCATCAGAGCTTTAAGATCATATGATTGATAATGCTAAGAAATTTAGACAGATAAATGTTAAGAAGATAAAATGTATCCATCACTTAACCAAGTTTTACCTCTTGATCTTTGTCCTATGACTTTTAGGTCCTTAGAAAGGATATCATGATCTTCTGCTGCTGGTGTTGACAATGCCTGGTGATTCAAAATATTAAATGTGGTATAAAAAAAAATACCAGCTCAACTTCTTCTTTAAGAACTTAATGAGTGTGAGGAATGATTTTAATGAAAATCAAAAAATTAAAAGGTCAATGAAATGAATGCAATTCAAGTCTATGGTCTACCAGTGGAGTCACAAGGGAGGTGCGGACTGCACCAGATGACAGCCCCAAAAAAAGGGGGGGGGGGGGGTGACATCAAATGGAAATTTGACAATTGGCTTGGGTCAGTTTCATATCAGGACTCAGTTAAATACAAGAACAGGCTGTCACCAGATTAGAGTGTCACCAGAATAGAGTGTTTTAAAAAAAAATCAAAAAATTAAAAGGACAATGAAATGAATGCAATTCAAGTCTATGGTCTACCAGTGGAGTCACAAGGGAGGTGCGGACTGCACCAGATGACAGCCCCAAAAAAAGGGGGGGGGGGTGGTGACATCAAATGGAAATTTGACAATTGGCTTGGGTCAGTTTCATATCAGGACTCAGTTAAATACAAGAACAGGCTGTCACCAGATTAGAGTGTCACCAGATTAGAGTGTCACCAGAGCAGGGCGCCATTAAGACTCATTTTGCAAGAAAGAAAAAAAGAGTATGATGTTAAGCATATTGATCAGAACTCCAGATCTGATTATTAAGGAATTATCAAGTCTGTTTGAAGCTGTTCAAGCTAAGAGTCTACTATTAGTAACTGATGAAGATTTACTGGTGTCCATTCCAAAACTCATCACTTTCTAAGATAAGTAACCCAAAGTGAACTTTTAATTGAAATACCAAGGCTATGAAAGCATCTGAAAGCAGCAGATATTAATCTCGACAAGGCCAAAGATCTGTCAGTATTCAAAGTTTTGAAATTTATAGTTGAATAGAACTTCCTAGAAACTTTCCCAATCCTCTCATTAAGCTTACAATTATTTATCATGAATTGTGTATCAGTGGCTTCATGCGAGAAAAGCTTTTCAAAAGTGAAACTTATAAAGAACTGTTTGAAATTTACCATGGAGCAGTTTAGAACTTCTGGTCTAGAGATTTTGTCAATTGAAATTTTGCATGGAGAAGAATGTTGTTTTGGATAAAGAGATTGACATGTGTGCATCTTTGAAGCACGGGAAAGTTTTAACTGTAAAGAATAATGAGCCAATAAAAATTAATTAAATGCTGTTACCTCATATTCTATGTTTTCTTGTTACGTCTTTTCATGTTTTAGGACTTTACTTAAAAACAATGCTTTGGACCGTTCTGTATGACCTGTTTAATAATTACTCAGTCTGGGTGGGGAGGGGGAGTCTGGAAAAGGTGGTGGGGAAGGCGCTATGTATTTACTGCATCGGGTGATACCAACCCTAGTGACACCTCTGAGGTCTAAACATCTTAAATATGCCCAAAATAAAGGGAGGGGAGGAAAATGATGCAACCATAACATGATGAATCAATGAAATGAAAATTTCACAATATTAACAAATGTGAATATCTTGTACAATATTTAGCTTTTAATTTTAAATCTAGCATTATTATTCATAATAAAAATATAGGCTTATCATAATTTTAAAGGATAAGGTAGGGAATGTCTTTAAGCCGATTGAAGGAAATAGTAAGAACCGGATATGTTAAATCTTTCACATATCTTGATCTTACTATTTTCCTGAATTTTTAATGATGAAATCAGGACCTATGTGCAGTTCACCCCCAGAGGTATTTACTCACTCAAGTACACCACAGGAATATCACGAAAGGTCTGAAAAGCCATACTGAGTATTTTGGGAATTATAGGAGAGAAAATATTTTCCCCATCAGCTGGAGAACTTTGCATCTATTCTGCTTGACAGCAAAAGTATGTAACATATTGTCAAGTTTAAAAAGTGACATCCAATATAAATTAAAAAGTTGGCACTATGTTTACTGCAGCAGTAAACCTAAAACCTTTAAGTTAAAGGCTGTGCTTACCACCTTAATGCAAGTAGCAAAGGCATGAGCTTTGGCCTATGTTTACTGCAAAGACAAATGCAGCATTTTGTCCATGGATTGGCTACTTTTCTTTTTTTGGCTGAAAGCTCCATTTACCACAGCAGTTGAATTAACTATGTATGGGCATATTAATATTATCCATATGATTATGATTGAATGTAATTCTATATTTTGGTTCTGTACGACTTATAAAACTTATTAGTGACAAGGCACTATAATCTTAACCATTCTTAAATTATAGGTGATAAGATTAGCCGGTAAATGTGTAGAGATCGTCCCGCGATGGCCGCCGATTAGCCATTAAGAAAGATGTTCATAATCATATCACATATCAGTCATAATTTTGAAACACACACACAAAGTGGGGGGAGGTATTTGTTCCTAGCCTCATTGACCGAATTAAAGTTTAACTTATTTAGAAATCATCGAAGAAAAGTCTTAATATTTTTTTTAAACTAAAAAGCACTAGCCTAAAGACACTAAAGTGCCCTAAAACTAAGAATGCTAAGACGAAAGTGCAAATGGTAAAGCAAGCAGTTCAGTGGACTCAGTGTTGAATGTGGTGACCAATTGGCCAATGGCGATTGACTGACTTACATTTTTTTTTTTACGGCAAGGCAGTGAGTTGTTGAGTTGAGAAACAAACAAAAAATATCAGGACGAAATAGCAGCGAAAGCAACACGCGTCTTGTTACTATTACTATGAGACAGTAAATGGTTTTTAATTTCTGGCTCTGCAAAGGTTTTGGTGAATTGTTTTCGTTAAATTTATATGCATTTCTTATTTTCAACCCCACCTGGGCTTTATTTATGTTATTATTGTTTACATACCACTAAAAATCGCCCAGGAAATATTTAATTATTTCCCTTAGTGTAAGCTAAAAGTAACGGATAAAACAAAATTTAAAACTAGCCAACTTCAACATTACTAATCACACAAGAGTTGTGGGAATATCAAATTGCGTATTTCGTAAAAGTAAAATATTTCTCTTGAAAAACATCTAACATCTAAGTCCAACTAACCAAACTCCAGAGAGTATTACAAATATACCGATTATTGAAAATGTTCTTATTACAATTTCTCAAAGAAAATACCAAAAATTACCCGTGGAAAATCCCCGCCTAATTAGGACGTAAAATTATGATTATGAAGTTGCTGCTACTATTACTACTAATTTTTCCCCGATATTGGTAGCTGCCTAGTCTGCTGAACTTAAAATTACAAGAGTTACCTTTCTTTCGTCAATGGGCCCGAACCTTCTTTTTTTTAAAAATAAGTCACAGTACTCATAGTCAAGCCTATTATTTTTTAGTATAATAATATTATTACTAGTATTACCTATTAGTTTCACTTATTCCCTGTCAAAGAATGATTTCATTTGCATCCCTGGTAATTTCTGCTCTAAAAAAACCACCAGCTATCTTGATAGGTGATTACCGGTGATTATATTATTATATTATTAAATAAAACATTAAATTCATGATTGACTTTCTTAGTATCTATACTATAGTCCTATAGTCTATATTATTATAGTATAGGGCAAATAGGGTCTAGTCATAGTCTAGTATAAGTATAGTCATAGTATGTTGACTAATCTGCAAATAGTAAATAGTAGTGATCAATTAGGTTAAGCATATAAATATAATTATTAATATGCCATGAACATGATTATGCCATTATGCAGTGATTATTGTAGGACAGGGTAGAGGAATTTTGTTCATTATTGTTGGAATTGGAAGGTGCCATTAACTTATCGGTACCAGTAATTAAATAAATATAGCTGCATTCAAATTCAAGAAACTTCAATTAACCATAATTATATGTACAAACACTGTAATATGTAACTGTCAGACAAATCAAAATCAAAGCCTCTGCCATAAGTTACTCATTAACACGTTCACTCATACAATATAATGATATAATTATAAATATAAGTTATAAGAACATATAAAATAAAAAAATATAAAAATTCAATAAATAAAGGCCTCTATCTATTCTTATTGTCTGAAAGCTATGGGAACGGTCAGCTGTGCAATCTTTGATACAAAGCTGGGTAGTGGAGAGTGGAGAATCAAGTGCTAGTAATGTTGAATGCCTGCATAAAATATATAAATTTATAATTACATGTAAATTGTAAAAATTCTATAAAAATAATGTAGTAATATTTGTATGTCTAGTAATGGAACGTTTACAAAAATAAAAGAATAGTTTTGTAAATATTGTGTTCCGTCAAAAGGCCATGCTTGAAGACCTAGAAGTCTGCAGGTTCCCCTTCCCTGGCCGGTACAGTCAATAAAGTCCGACTATACAGACTATACTATGTCAATAATCAGATTTTGTGCTATAATTTGTGGAAATAATGAATCAGAACTGTTAATATTTGTATTACGTAGAATAGATAAATAGCTTGTTATAAAAAACCTGTCTTCCTTCTTGAGTTTGCTATTGGTATTTAATTGCTACTAAACAGATATTTTTTGAAAATACATAGATTGGTTTATGTCATGTGCCCCGGATTTGTACATATGTTCCCATTTCAGTTTCTGTACTTAATTAATGCCGTAACAATTTTAAGATTATCAAGACTATTAAACTTAATTAATGCCGTAACAATTTTAAGATTATCAAGACTATTAAACTTTTTGACCATTATTTTAATAAATAAAATAGATGCTAAGTCCTCCTTAGATTCTAGAAATCAAACTCCTGACTATGTAGGAGCTGGAAAAGAATTTATTATGGCTTTCTTTTTTTTCTTTTGAAATCTTAAACAATTTTATTATTCCACCCTAATTTCTTGCATTGGTATTAGCATTTAGAGTTGGAACAGCATGATATTGAACAAGTGTGGTAGACAGAATGCAAAATATCATTTCCTATTAAAGCACAATAACAAAATAACACAACTAAACAATTTTCTCAATTTAATGCAATTAAATTTCAACCCTTCATTCAACTAACTTTGCAAAATTCAATTAAAAAAGAATTAGAATAAGAATTTTACTGAAAGACAAGCTATGCTAAGTGTAGAATCTGACATCTCAAATTCTGGAAAGTTCAAAGATAGGATAGGATTTGGAAACCAACAGCACAACAGTGCATTCATTCATTCAGTTGCAACTTATATTTCATTGTTGGACATGGTTACAACATTATATAAAGACAACTCTTTTGAGATGCTACACTAATTGACCTATTGTACATGTATGTGGAGTCTTCAGTGCTAGACTGTTGGTTACAAAAATGGCGGCTAAAGTGTCTCACTGTACTTTAGAATTAGATGTCGCCTCTGAGATAAAAATGGAGTTTTCACAGGATCCCCAGGAAACAGATGCCTTACCAGTCGAACCCTTTCATGTTACTCTGAGCAACAGGGGTAAAGCTTGCCTTATTACTGGAGGTTATTGTTATCGGAGGGGCAAGGGAGTAAAGAAAGGATTGTCTTGGCGATGCACTACAAAAAGTTGCTGCGGTAGAATGGTGACAGACCATTCTGTTTCTAAGGTACAGTAAAAGTAATAGTATAATAAAAATTTAACTTTTCCTTCTGAGCACTTATGCTATATAAAATTCACTTTCAAACACAGAGTTATTTACAAAGAAATGGCTGAAGTATTGTCATTTCATAAAAGCATTCTCCTATTTTGTTGTTGACCACAGAGTCATTTATTTAGTTTCTGAAAGTTTTTCCAAAAAAATTGTTAAAGTTAAGGCACTGTCAAAGGAGTTTTTTGTTGTAAATGCCCGGTTGGCTTTTAAATTATTTTGTTGTAATTTATTGTGCCTAAGAGAGTCCCCCTTTTTTCTGTTGCCTAGATTTTAGCAGTGAACCCAAAAGGGCATAATCACATACCAAACCCTGTTAGTATGGAGAAAAAAATGTTTAAGAATCGTTTGAAGTACATTGCCACAGAAGAGCCATTGTTGCACCCAGAACAGCTGCTGGAGAAAGAAATAATTGCAGCGCCACCTACTTTGTCGTCCAAAGAACTCAGAGCTGTCAGGCAGAGCGTGTGGAGGCACAGAGAACAATTTCTTAGGAGCTGCGGTCAAGTGAAGATAAGTCAAGCCACATCATCAGGAATCTCCAGTTTGAATCAAATGGGCTATGATGTTGACAGAGGTGAAAAGTCAAAGTTTATCCATTTCCTCTAAGGAATCAGGGTTTTAATTTAAAAAAAGGTTACCTAAATTTAGAAGCATTATCCTCCTTTTCAAAGTTTTCTTTGGAAATAGATGGCTACTTAACAGTCTGAAATCCATCTCATAACAATATTTGGAACTTCTTAAATTGAACTGCTGTAAATCGCAAAAAAACGTTTAAAGCTTTAAAGATCCAGCACATTAGTAAAAATATATTAGTCTATAGAAATCTACCTAAAATTGGCCAGAAGTAAAATTTTCTTAATATGTAAAATATAAAAAAAAATCATCTTTGATGTATCTCAGTATGTATCTCATTTTTTTCATTCATTAATTAAAAAAAAAAAACCCCCCCCCCCCCCCCCCCCAGTAAACAAATGAAAAAATAAAATAATTGATTTTAAGACATTTTAAAATAATAACCAAAATGAATATAATTTCACAAAATCAAATGATTTATGAGTTACATAATGATATTTTATATATTCATATTTTGCCAACAAAGACCAGCACTTTTTTGTTTACCCCAGCAGCAACTTCTCTTTTCTGGCTCCTAAAGTTGGGTACTTCGTTCCTGCTCATAATGCTAGGTACATATTCCGTCATGCTATTGACATAAACCAAATATGTTGAAAAAGTTGTGAATGGAAGTGAGCTATTCTGATTTGAATTTTGCCTTAATTAATTACATCAGCAGGTAATATAAGTAATGAGCAGATACGGAAAATGACAAATAATGGACATGGCAAGCTACTGGAAGCTGTCAAATCCTTCATTCCCCAACTTGAATATGGCATGCACAAAGGCCAAGCAGGCAGAGTGGCAGTTATTGGAGGTTGCCAGGAGTAAGGGGTTATTATTATCTTATATTGTTTTCAAGATTTTATTATTTTTTTAACTTGAGCAAGCTGTAAATCTTAAAACACTGGTTTTCTGTTGTTGTCTGTTGATTGATATTTTCCCTTATTTCCCCACATCAGATACACAGGGGCTCCCTATTTTGCTTCAATTACAGCCCTTAAATTGGTAAGAGATATAACTCTGTGTGTGTGTGTGGGGGGGGGGGTGGTTTAAGGGATGTTTAAAAAATACATGGTTTAAAAAAAATGGACAATATATATTCTGTTTTAAGTTTAGTGAAAATTTACTAAAATAATATGCTAATAAATATCTCTAAAAACTTACAAGATCCATTTAAGAATGGATAAAAAGCTGATTAACGCTTTCAAGCCGCCTGTATTTGTTAGACCACAGTTTGCCTCAATCTTTAAGGGACATTGAAAATGATAAAAAGTCATTTAAGAACCATATAAAGACTTTTCTTTAAATAGATTTTAGTACATCAAAGCGCTGTGAGCATGCTAAAATAGCATGGACACAAGCACCAAGTACTCAATCATGATACATAATGTCCTCTCCTAATTTTAAAAAAGAAACTTATTTTTTCTTCTTCTATGACAGGGAGCTGACCTCTCTCATGTATTTTGTACTGTCGATGCTGCTACAGTGATAAAAAGTTATAGTCCAGAATTAATAGTCCATCCTTTACTGTAAGTGTACTTATGAACACAAACTGTTTCTTGAGTGATCCTTTCTTTACTGTAACTTTAAGTTTACTTATAAACACAAAAATACGTTTGAATAGGAAAATATAATTCATATTTTATGGTAAGTTTAACTCTGAAGACTAACTTAACAGCCCTCATCTTGTAGAGGCGTAAAAATGAGTATTGTCTATGAGAATTATTTTTTTGAAATTTTTCAGTTTTACAGTTCTCATGATTCAGAATTAAAAAAAAAAATCCTTTGACAGCAATGACCACAATCTAAATTAGCACTTCAAGAAATCATTTTCCAAATTAATAATGAACACCTTTTTAACACATGAAATTAAAGCAAATTAAATGTAATGTAAATTTTGTGTTGCTTTTGTTTAGTTCAATCTGAAGATCAACAGATGATGGATATTTTAAAAAAGCATTGTCTCATCCTTTATGTATACACAGAGACCGTTCAGATGCTGTTGCAGGGATCTTAGAATGGTTGCCGAGGTTTCACTCACTTATTATAGGACCAGGCCTGGGGCGGGATGAGAAAATAATCCGGGTTGTGTCGGTGAGTTTTGCTTGACTTGTTGCTCTCCCTTTATTGTGTTCCATTTTAATAATAATATGATTGTCAGTGAAGGCTCAAGATGAGTTGTCCATAAACTGATTTGGTAAAATGTCTTCCTGGTTGTGGTTCATTGAAGCTAATTGAGTGAAAACCACATCTACAGCAAGCGCCAAAAGTAACAGTTCATAAAATCCTGCATCTTCACCACATATATAAGTTTGTCAACGGCGCCTATTCCCATTAGCCATGTGTTCCTGGGAACCAAAATGAAGATATGTTGGGCAGTTGTAGTTGGAAATGGGTCTCTCAATACAGGAGAGAGTATTCCTAGTTGACCCTTATTGTTGGTCATATGTAAGTGGTCATAAATGGAGACAGAGTTTGAAAGTGGTGGCAGAGCAATGCTGAAAGAGCTTTAAAAAGATGGCAACAAGTAACAAAATTATGCAGTATATTTGTTACAAAACTTTGCCATCCTGGAAAGGTACTCTGTCAACAGAAAGAGAGGACTGACAGACAATAAAGTGAATTTGACTTTCGGTAGAGACTACACATTCCTAAAAACTTTGAATCCTCATACACAATGGACAGAAATTTTCCATAATACACCATTTCGGCCTGCATTTCTAGCTCTGTCAAGTGTAGTCCAACCTGTATCGGGTACGAAAATGCTCCTTTGTCCTTTAACAATTGGTGAAAGAAGATTTTTGCTTATGTTTAATATCAAGAATGGTCGTTTTAGTCTTATGAGGGCGAATGCAGCACCTGCTGGAGATTGTGCATGATTCTCTATTGAAACAGTTCAGGTCACATAGACTTCCTCTTCCCGGTGCGGCTAAATTTCTTAACAACAGATGGCATAACTGATAAGAGCTCAGTACTGTAGCTATCCACCAAAGTGGAGGATCGACCAAACAGAATTGAGTACTGTAGCTGTCTGCCACATTGTGTAACGAAATCTCAATTCCCTCATGTTTCTGTTAAGTCCATGTAATGTTATTGGGAGTTCAGAGCAACATTTCATAACCGAAATCTAAATCAGTTTATTTCATGACTTGAGGGTTATCATGAGGTTAATTTTTAATGTCTACATTTCAGGAAGTGATTGAAAAAGCAAAAGAGCAGAAGCTTCCTCTTGTCATTGATGCTGTGAGTAATAGAGTCTATTCCATGTTGTAATGGTGGTTGCAGGTAGTGCGGGCATAGACATTATCAAACAAATTTTCGAACTCAGTTACTCTTTATATACTATGAAGCTAACTTATTCCTTTCTTTGAATTGTCCCATTTTTTTGTTAAAGCTGTGTTTGCAGGTATGAGAAAGAAATATAACTAAAAAAATATCTCATCATTTCATTTGGGCAATAAAAACGTAGGTCACTGCCAGATATGTCAGTCCATGTTTTTTATGCTAAGGTGTCAGTGTGAGGAAATTTTTTTTTTTAAATTTTGCCCGAAAATTTATTAATCCACACCAGCCAATACTATTAAATTAAATACCATTCATACTTGCTTATAGGTTGAACTTATTTACCAAAAAATTCAATAACAAGCAGAAGTAAGACCTGTCCACTCAACAATTATTTCTTTTTTTTTTTTATTCAGTGTGGAGTAATAGTTTATATGAAAAGTCAGTTTTCTTCCTTGCTCTAACTCAAACAGAGGGCAATCAATTTTTTAAAATGTGTATTAAAGATCACATAGTTTATGTCAATTGCTTTTCAGTTTTCAAGTTTTTATGGAAACATTTTTGTGACAACTAATATCAAACATTAGCTATGTTTATGTTATAAAAAAGGGGCCATGCAACTCTCCAAGCTAAAGGTGTGACCTCCCCGGGGGTTCACCCCACAAATCCACTTTAACCACCCCAAACTAAGAATGTGACCTATCCACTGGGGTGAGCCATATGCGAGTATGTATGATAAGCGTTTTTTGGTTTTACTTATATGCTTGATTTATTTGTGTTAATTTTCAGGATGGTTTATTTCTAGTGACACAAGACCCTTCCATTATAAGTGGCTACACCAATGCTGTTCTTACTCCAAATATTGCAGAGTTTTCGCGCCTCTATAAAAAAGTGGTAAGTTATTAATTTTTTTATTCCGTAAACCCGGTACTTAAAAGTTGTATTATCTTTAAGGTGACCATTTTTGTTAAAATTGAAAAAAAATGAGGATATTTTAAGATTTTCAAATTCAAAAACAAGGCATTTAAAATGGTTGGCCAAGGTAAACAATTATTTGTGATTGCACAGACAGATCTTTTGTAAGTGAGCTGACCTTTTGACAAAAAATATTATCATAATGCGGATTTGGATTAATTATCTTTCTTTTAGTCGTGTCATTTATTTATGCCTGGATATCAGATGTATTTAATCTTTTGGTAAATAAAAAAATTAATGATTTAAAAAAAATATTTTTCATCTTAAATTTAAACTGTACTGGTTTCAGCTAACAATAAAGCAGGACAGAGTCCAAAAAGCAGAACTGTCCTGATAAAAACAGTATGAATGGTCACCTTAATTTACTGGGATTTGTGCAATTTGATATACACATTTAACAGTATTTCATGGTACCGGTATTATAACATTGCATTACAGTTAGACAGTTGTGTTTTTTACCAAGAGAGTGGTGTCTGTCTATTTTATATTCCAATGTTACACCGGCACTCCAATGAGTTCAATCATTTTTTAAAAATATATTTACCCCTGTCAACCTTCCTTGCACCCCCATTCCCCACCATTGCCTTCATCTCAGCGCTACTTGTCCAGTTGATATTTTCCAGGTTGGCCGAGATCCTGATCCTGATACGCCCATAGTAACAGTCACCGAATTGTCAAGAAAATTAGGCCATGTGACTATATTACAGAAAGGCCCCCATGATATAATCACAGATGGTGAGAATGGTGAGTGATCCAGTGTGTATGTATCACAGATGGGGAGAATGCAAAGTGATCTAGTGTGTATGTATTGCTGATGGGAAGGATGGTAAGTGATCCATGGTTTATGTATCACAGATGGGAATGATGGTAAGTGATCCATGGTTTATGTATCACAGATGGGAATGATGGTAAGTGATCCATGGTTTATGTATCACAGATGGGAATGATGGTAAGTGATCCAGTGTGTATACATCAGAGATGGGGAAAACTAAGAGGTATTGTGTGTATTTATACATGAAAGATTTGTTGTGGAATGTTTTGTATTTTTTACCTGTGATACTTTGTGATATTTACAAGATAAAAGATTGGATGCAGATATTAATTATGATGACACGGGTGCTAATCTTGATTGATCAATTTGAACTTCACATACCTGTAATCAGAATAACCAGAATTAAATCTCTATTCATCAACTTTCTTTGTCCAACTTTCTCCTTGTAGTGTTGGTGTGCTCAGAAACAGGAAGTCCCCGAAGATGTGGCGGCCAAGGTGACCTACTCTCTGGATCTCTGGGAGTCTTCTTGTTCTGGGCACTGCAGGAATCCATCAGAGGACAAAACAGGTGAGTTGCTTTTCCTATAAATCTGTAACTTTCAATTCTTAGTGTCTGATCCTGGAAGATTACATCAGTCTCTCTTGTAGTGAAAGTAAAGTGAGGAACTTGGGATCTAGATTTCATTAAGTGCCTTGTGTTCCATTGAGCCCAGATGCTTCTAGACCAGGCCTGCACAACTCAAAATGTAAGGCGGCAGTACTACTTTATGAAAATCGTGCGTGGGACGAAAGAAAAGATGATAGGTGAGAATGCTATTAAGAAAATTATATAAAAAAAAAGAAGATTTTGTTATGTCGCGGGCCACAAAGAGAGCCTGGATAGTCGTCGTCGTTCCTCTAACGGTGACCAGCCCAGTGTTTCTTCCAGCATGCTGCCAACAATAGAGGTATTCCTGTAAAGGTTCTGGACAAAACGGGCTGCCCGTTGCTGGACCGCCTCCAACCTGTCGATGTTCTTCTGGGTAAATGGGTCCTAGACTGAAGATGCATAATCTAAAAGCGGCCGGACAAAGGCTTTATAGGCTCTTTCTTTCACACTGGAGTTGCCGATCTTTATATTACGCCTTAAGAACCCTGGGGCTTTGTTTGCCTGGTTGCACGCATGGTTAATATGCATTTGGGATGGTTTGTTGGTTGCTGTTGTTGAAAGTATTTCTTATCAGTTAAAATTCAGCTGGGACTTAAACATTCCAAAAAGTTCAGCCTGTTGAAGACAAATTTGGTCATCATGGATATCACCTATCTTTACAGATCTTGTGTGTATGTCATATCATTTTTTCCACCTAACAGTACCCTAATGGATACGTATGGCTTCAACATGTGTGCAGCCTATGCCTCAAGTGCTTTGACCCGTGAGTGTAACAGACAAGCCTTTGAGGATTTCAGTCGATCCATGACAACCACCGACATGATAGCAAAGATTCACTCAGCATTTGAGGCCCTTTATATGTGATGCAGATTCAGGTTTTGGAGAAAATTTAATTTTTTTTTGTTCAAAGTGATGACTTTTCTTATTTAACTACCAGTATTTGAACTTTTATTTGAGTGCTTGTGATCTTGATGATCTAAAATTTATTTTTTGGTTATTTGTTGTATTGGTTAACAAGTATTTGAGATGGGAGTCTGATGGATTGAAGAATATCATGTGTTCATTATCAATTAGATCAAATGGAATTTTAAATTATTGCCCATTTAATATTGTTTGATCATGATTATGTACAAATGGCATAATTCTGTTTATGTAATTTCATGAAAGCGAATGTCTTTCTCAAATCTAATCAGATCTATTAATTTTTATTTGATGTATAAGTTAAAGAAAATTAAAAGTGTACAAGTAATCTGCCTTTCCTGTTACATAATTTTCTTAGGTCCAAAATAACGCGCAGTAACTCTACTGTTATTAAGAAAATCAGTTGATGCCATACTGACCAAAGGTAAACTGACCCTATGAAGCTTAAGATATGTTCAGGGCAGAGCCAGAAAGAAAATTTAGAACCTTTAGTTGATAATCGAAGAAGAATTGACCCCAAAAAAAAAAAATCAGCTCTGCAGGAAGTGGCAAAATTCACAGGATATTTCATGATGCATTAAGATATGTTCAAGGGAAGCGGTTTGGAAAAGAAAAAAATATTTTTTATAGCAGAAACACTTTCCATATCAAGGTGGTTGTCAAACTTGAAGGCCATGCGTGCAGCAAGTTACAAAATGCAATGTAGCCTGCAGCACCATATGGACAAAGCTGCCAGAAATTTGAAAAATTACAGGTAATGTAAGCCAAAAAAAAAAAAAAGAAAACATTTAAAAAAATAAATTTTAATATATGTTAACTGGAATGTAGTTTTGTGGTAATGTGCGTGTGTGTGTGTGTTATTTAGAATTTAATAAAAGTGTTTCTATCTTTCTTCATGTTTCTAAAGTCCTGGTAGGGGAACTTGTCAGTTATCTTACCCTTTGCCATGCTTCTTGCCTTCATGAATTGCTCATTCTGGTCACTTCTACCCAAGCTTGTGCCGAAGTTGTCTTCATGAAAAACTATTGAAGGCACCCGCATATTTCTAAAATAGCTCAGGGTGTTTATTGCGAACGGTAGACCTAGGATAATAATAGGTGGATTATACCTGTAACTATGGTAACTTTTCAATGGCTACCCAGGATAATAATAGGTGGATTATACCTGTAACTATGGTAACATTTCAATGGCTACCCAGGATAATAATAGGTGGATTATACCTGTAACTATGGTAACATTTCAATGGCTACCCAGGATAATAATAAGTGGATTATACCTGTAACTATGGTAACATTTCAATGGCTACCCAGGATAATAGGTGGATTATACCTGTAACTATGGTAACATTTCAATGGCAATCAAATACATAATTTTCTTACATTTTTTTTTTAGGGTGGTGGGGAATTCTTTTTGACCTAATGTCTTAAATTATATCATAAAATTATAAAATTATGCGAAGACCTGTCTGCAGCTATAGTAATGGAGTGTGTGTATATAAATAGTAGGCACCTGTCTGGAGCTATAGTAATAGAGTGAGTGTATATAAATAGTAGGCGCCTGTCTGGAGCTATAGTAATGGAGTGTGTGTATATAAATAGTAGGGGCCTGTCTATACTATAGGAATGGAGCGAGTGTAAATAAATAGTAGACATCAGGATGGAGCTGGAACAAGTAAAATGAGTTCATGACATCACAACACATCACTGAGGTGACTTGACATCACAACACATCACTGAGATGACTTGACAGAGCTTTTGAAACACATCACTTTATTACACAAGTCCCCAAGCCTCGGAATCACAACCTTTAAGTGTTAAGCTGTATCAACATAAGAGAAAAGATCATTCATTTATTTAAAGACCCAGTCATGATGGCAGTGGAGTGCTGGTCAGGGGTCAGTTTCCTAAGGGCCCATAGGAAGGCAAGTTGCATCAATAAATACCAACAAAATAACAATATGATTCTTTGATCTTCTCTGTGACCAGTAGTTACAGTACTTGAAACTAAATGTTTTGGTGGCTAACATTTTCAAAACATATAAACATTTTAAGAATATTCTGTTAAAGTTGTACAGTAAAAAAATTTAACAAATAATATAAATAATATAAAAAAATCATATTACATAAATTCAAGAACGAATCAAACAATTTTTGTTAAAAACTTAGCTGAATTAGAATTTAAAATAGCCACCTGTTTGAGCCAATATCTGTTATTTCTATCTGACGTGTACCTATAGACTTTGGGGGAAAAAATGGCAGCGAGTTCAACTAAAGGAAAAATTTTGATAATTTTTGGGGGCATTCTGTGAAAGAGATTGAAACTAAACATAAAATAATGTTCACATATGAAAGCATGTTGGGACGTTGAATCTTATCACCAGCCAGATTTTGAGGTACCGGTACTACACTTATGGAAAGCTCTTTTTACATGACATGCAAATACATAAATAGAGATGTAGGTCTCTAATCTGTAACATATAACTTAAATAGATAACAGTAAACCATACAGAGACATACATCTCTTGTCGTGGCTGTACATACAGTATTTACAGAAATGCCTTAAATGTATTCCAGTGTCCATTGTGTTATCAAAATCTATAGTTCTGGCACCTTAACTTCAGTGGATATTTCTGGCACCTTAACTTCAGTGGATATTTATTTTAAACAATTTTTTGAATGTATACTATTTACAATCATCTGGATTTTTTTTGGATTGCTGTAACTATAAATACTTCAATTTTTTTATGCCAAACAACTAGGATGATTTTCCCAAAACAATTTATCATTTTTGTTGAGAAGGGATGAAGGAAGACCAAGCAAGAGAACGTCAGTCTGTATGCAAGCAAAGGACCCATAATAAGGTTTTTAATTTGCCAAACAAGATATTTTTCAAAAATATTTAGTCTTCTCAGATGAAATCTGAAAATGGGCGCATCCCTGGAAGCTATGTTCATAACTAGAGATGAAAATTAGGGACTCTGGATTTAACATTTTTATTTCTACTGTATTCAATAATAAGGTTTGTGTGTGTTCAAAATATTTATAAAATAAAATAGTCCTTATGGATTTCAATGTGAATTTCAGTAATAGATGTAAAAAATAAAAACATGTAGTATTTTCATTATTCTGCTGAGAGGATCCATGATTGCATTAACTTGTTAATTCTTCTTCATTTACCAGCTCTTCAAATAGACCCAAATTTTTTAAATTTAAAATGTCCAAAAACCTTAAATAAATTTAAGAATCAAGAATCAGACTGAGAAATCTTGAAAATCCTTCTTTAGTGACCAAATGGGCACTGGCAGACAAAACAGGTTCAAGGCCAGTGGGTTGTGAGCTCGACCTTGGTGTAGATTGTACTTTTATCAAACGTTTCAACACTGGAACAGTTTTGCAGTAAAAGATCCATGTAACATCAAACATTCATGTGGACAACTGCACCAGTAGGCTAAGGCATAAGGCTTGAGCCAACTCAAGCTGGTCTTCTACTACACACACTACACAGACACAAACTAATGAACTAAAATAAGCAACATCTTTTGGTTTTTTAAAAACTGCCACCTTAAAAAAAACATAGGGGTTACACTGCATCATAATTTAGTCTCCATGATGGCAGCTGAGTATGACCTGTTTAAGTTTGCCTGTGCCTGTGGTGCCCCACCACACGCGGCGTTACACCCACTGTTTTTAGCACAATCCTGTGTCAGCACTCCGGTGCTGTGGTGATGGTGCTCATGGGGTGTCCTGTGAGCTTTGTGCTGGCAGGGGTGTGGCTGTGGTGGCAAGGGGTAGCAAGGTGTGTTGCAGCAGCTGCCAGATCCGAATGAAGACGTTGCGCGGACAGAGTTGTCGGCACACAACGAGACGTTAACCTCCCCTGGGGGGGGCATGTATGTGCTGTGCCGACGTGTTATGGGATTGTCGAGATTCTGACAGTGCTGGGTGCAATTATATGTAATGTTGCCATCTGAATGACCGCAGTGTCTCATTGGAAGCTGACCGCTGTTGTTGGATGTTTGAGCTTGACAGTTATTGTTTGACGTAAAGTCTGGGGTCAGGGGTCGTAAGTTGTTGGGATCAGGGACTTGGAGTAGGTGCGGCGATGGTGAGTGTGAGTAGGACGATGCCCCGAGGGAGTTTTTATTACTTCCATTGGAGAAGGTTGGGCTCCCCTGCTCTCTTTGAAAGTTCAAAGAATACGTAACATCTGCGGAAAGGCTTCTTCTGTGTTGAAGCTTCAGCTGAGATGTTGGGGTGGTCGTCATCAGGTCGGCGTAGTACTTATTGTAATCACTCAATGTACGCTTGTGGGTGGGCCTGGCCCCGGCATGCGGTTGCTGGGGTTTCCCACCGACACTGCTGGCTGGGGTTGTGGGCCCCACAATGCTGATGGTATCACTGCCCGTCCAGCTGCTGTGGCGTTTAGTGCTGTCGCTCCCAGCAGAGCCGGCCTCACGCTTGCAGCCGGGGTGTCTACTGAATGAGCACCCTTGGTGGTGACTCATCTTGTAGAAATGAGGACTGACTGATCCCGATCTCCGGGATTCATGTTTGTCCCTGTAGCTGCGAACGTCTTCCCTGCTCCAGGAGAAATGACTGATGCTGCTTCCCCTCCTTTGATGTTTGTCGCAAGCTGGTGAAAGTAGGTGAGGCGATGGGATGTTCTGACCTGGAACAGTCATGTGACGGGGCCCGCTTAAAAAATCCGTGGATGAGCTGGAAGTGACCGAAGAGTTACTATCACATCCGGTGTGCCTCCTACACACCGGCTTAGCGTTCTGGATCATGACCGTTGGTGTCACCGGGATGGGTACAGGAGATCGGTTCAAGGACATATTGTTCAAGAGACCAATAGTCTCCCTGCCATCTGGAATTCTTATCGTCAAATTGGGTGGGGTTTTATTGGTTTTCTTCTTGACATTAGAATCGGAAGCGGTGCGCCCAGTTTTGGTAACCTCCTCACGGCCTTGACATTTGTCTGAATTGTGTTTCTGGTCAAGTTGCGTGTACTCAATGTAGTCTCTCTTGTTGGCGTCTTCATTCCTGTGTTTGAGTTTGTTCATTTTTCTACTTGCGTTGATGATGTCTTTAATATCTTTGTGTTGCTTGTAACCGCTGGTGGCAGTCTCATAGGCACTTAGAAGCTGGCTGGACAGTGAGTTGGACAAGACGGGCAGGCTTTTATTCCACGAGTTGGGGAAGTCAAGAAGAGGTAGCGGCTGGGGAGACCGGGGACAGACCAGCGGGCAACTGCAAGGCTTGTTCATGGCGAGGAGGCCTCTGCTCTGTATGGTCAGCATGAGGCCGGCAAAATCCTGGTGACTTCTCGCAGCAAGCGGCATGTTCTGGACCCACTGGGCAGTCGCTGTGGGGATGTCCATTTCTGATTTTGGCAGCTGTTGGAGGTAGCTTTGTTGCTGGATGTACGCATCCTGGTGTTCCTGGCAGAACTGTTGATGATAGAACTGCAGCTGGGAGCCTCCGGGGTAGGGGAACTGGAAGACCGTCCCGTCTTCATTGTTCCCAGCTCCAGGAATCGAATAGGGACTCAAGCACTCGTGGGCTCCAGACTTCAAGAACTGGTCATAAGTCCCGGGCGATTGCGGCAGACTTTCTGGGGGCGTGGTCTCAATGATGATGCTGGGGTTGATCAAAGCCCGGAGCATATTAGGATTAGTCACGCACAGCGAGTCCTTCTCTTCAGAATCTGAATCTTTCTTGCTGTCCTCTTCGTCTTCCCCTTTGCACTTCTTTTTGATGAGCCTCAGAACACACTTGCGCACTTTGGTTCTATAAATGACGTAAATGACCAA